ACTCATTTTTAGTGCCAATTGAATCATAGTGGTCCGGTTTTCACTTCGAAATAAGTTAATATTTACACATTTAAGGGAATTTTTACTAATTTATATTTAGCGAATACCGTAAGCTTTACAGTTAATGGACTATCTTGCGATTTCAATCTCGACAAGTACAGAACTACCAGATTGTAATTAGTCTACGATGTAGCTGATGTATCAATTTAATACTCCGATTTTTGGAAAGATAATGAAAAATGATTAATAATTATGGTAAATAATATTAAACTATTCTAACGCTCTTTATAATTCAAAAAATCATAATATAAAAGTTAATTGTATGTTTTGTCAGTATTAAAATTATAATAGTTACTGAATCATTTTCTAAAAAGTTGATTGCGGATGTTTAGTCGTTTTATGTCAGTTCTGTAACTTTTTTATTCGGTTAATGATTATTAGTCGACTGAGATAATGGCAAAATTATTGAAAGAATGAAGGTGAGCAAAGCGAGCCTGAAATGTTTAGTAAATTCTAAATTGAATGGAAATTCAATATATATCAATTTTTTTAACATTGCGAGTAAATATCATCATTTTTAGAGTAAAATAATCAAAATACTTAGACAGATAATATCACCATAATATCCTCTTGAGTGAAGAAAATCAGTAATACTTTGACGGATAGGTTTTTCTTTCTGCCTAGTTTTTGCACGACTTATGATGCGAAGCATCAGAGAGTGCTTTACGATCGAAAAATTTTTTTCGTCTCATTTCGGCAACTATTTTTATTATTATAGCCTTGTTAGTTCACAGAATCAAGATATTTTGCATACTATTGTCAAGATAATTTAATGGAGATTAATTTCATACTTTTCAAAAATTTATTAAGTGGAATAGATGCGGAAAAAACATCAAAATAGTTATAACAATTTTCCTGTCCATCATGTATGAAAACCTAAAAACACTTATGACCCAGATTTTGGGTCAGGGGCAGCAGGGAGAATAGGGCTTGGAAGATGGGACAAGGAGGAGAAGGACAGCAGCTAACGACGCGACGGGCCGAATTTTCGTCTATTTAAATTGTTTAAATTTTGTATATAGTTTTGTTTATTGCGTTCAGTATTATTACTAATCATTATTATTATTATTATTATTATTTGCTTTAAAATGAGTATTAATAAAACTATGTATATATTTCGTTCAATTATGACCAAGATCTCACTACCTAGGTTGATTAATTATTCAAGTATTATTAGAAACAATTATTTTGTTTAAATGTTCTTTCTTTGCAAATTAAATGTTCAAATTAAAAGTATACATTATTTTGTTTATATTATATATTATGATTATTATTAATAATTTTAAAGAAAGAAAATGTTTATTGTGGTATTTTGTTTAGTTAATAATATTATATTATTGTTTACCAAAGGCTTAATTAAATTTAATCAAAGTGGGAGAAATTATTTTATAGCCGAGCAAGTTTAGCAAGCAAAAGAAAATCATTGTAAAAGAATTTTAAAGACTGGGAAATTATTCTAAGTCCCAAGCCGATTTAGTATGGGAAAGCGGCGAATGGATATAAAATGAAAGAAATGACAATTATTATAATTTAGGTAAGCGAAAATTATTCTAAGTCCCAGACAAGTTTTAGTATGGGAAATCAACGAATGGATATATAATGAAAGAATTTGCAATTAAAATAATAAAGAATTGTGAATTTGTCGAAACGAATGGATATATAATGAGAGAAATGACGATTATTATTTTAAAGAATTGGGACTTGGAAATAAAAACTTAGAATTTGGCGAGACGAATGGATAGAGAATGAGCGAAATTGCGATTAAAATAATAAATAATTATTTTAAAATGCTGGTTCGATGACGTCGGATAGATGGCAAAAACGATCATTCCGGTTTGTTGTAAGTGAGTTTTTGGGAAAATGATAAAGTCCAAAATTTTATCACGGGAAAAGCAAGTCTTGTGACAGAGTGTTATTGTGGTGAATATTCTTCCATCAATAACAACTGAAGGGACATTACCTCGGTTCGTCTTGAACATTGGTAAGTACCTTTTGAACTCTTAGCAAAATTTGACTTCCCTGGATTTTTGACCTTCCGTCAAAACTCCAGTAGGTGATCATACGCCGTGTAGGTGGGGGCGAAGAGGACATTCTCCATTCGCTCTCGGGGTAGAGGTTAGACCCAGGGGTGACGACTATTCATCTCACTGAGACGCTTGCGCATTATTGTCATACTTCAGCTGTTTTATATTTTTCTTAACATTCGCTTTATTTTATTATAATTTTTAAATTAAATGAGCATTATGAGTTGTGCACTTTTGGATTTTCCAAATTTTTTCTTCTTTTATTGTAAATCTACTTTAAACAGGTTATTCAAATTAAAAGTAATTTAATTCTCGGCTATTATACATATTATATTTGTATAAATTAAAATTGACAATATCTGTATTTATGATCTTACAAAGCTAGCATCACAAGCTCCGTCACCCGGTGTGCTTTTGAAGTCACCAGATTGCTTGTACGCTCTTTTCGTATCTCTCCATCCCCCTTGCCCCTTCTTTCTCGCAGATTGTAGAATGGATCTCACGGTTGAGTAGTTTCTCATAAATTAATAAGATCACGGGCCATTTATAATGTTTATTAGATTTAGTTAAGACGCCTATTATTATGGTACGTAAATAAAGGGAAGAATCAGTCCACCCTGCTATTCACCTCGGCAGGATGGAATGTGGCTAGGATAATCAAATGAAGGACAATAAAGTGGCTGATACAATAGTTAAAGTGAGCAAAAAAGATGGAGTATACTAGATAAACGTGGACAGATAAAGGACAAAGAATGTGAAATGTGAATGAGTAGTGGAAATGAGAGAAAAGGAAAAAAAATGATTGCGAAAACGCGAGGGGATATGCGCGTGCTAAATGTAGTGGGCGTGTTCCATTACTTTCATTATTTCCTCGTAGGAGGGTTCGACCGATATGCTTTCACATAATGTAACAGCGACAAGAGAAGTACTGAATTATATTCGTATAATAACGTCATAGGGGTGATAGCTTGACATGGCTCACGGGAGATATGACAGCAGGTAGTAAAAACACAGGTACTTTTTAAATCAGATCAGTTGAATCTATTTATGTATACACTATACATGTCAATATGTCTTTTGTTACTCAAATAACTTTCGAAAGATACCACTGGATTTTTATATTATAAATATTAAATTTAAAGCAACTTTCCCTATCTCTATGCTAGCTATAATTTTTATTTAGATACAAGAAAATTTTGCTTGATACTGAAATTAAAACATCTAACAGTTTTTAGAACTTTTTTAGTTTATAAATTATTTAAATAGAAATTAACAAAAAAATTCACTCAATTATTTAAATGATAAATTTACTAAATTTTAATAAATAAATTATTATTGAGAGAATGTTTAAAAAATGTTTCTTGCAGAAATAAAAAATAAATATCGATGCAATTTTTTTGTAAATAATAAAATTTATTTGTTATATCAAACTAAGGAAAAATGTTAACATTTTCATTTTTAAAATCTCTTGATACGCATTTTATAATTGTTAAATTTATAATATTTTTCTATTTTTATTCAGACAAGAAAAAAACGAAAAATTCACTCCGTGCAGCTTTTTTTAAAATTAATGATAAAAATAAAATCCTTGAATTTTATTTCAGCGGAATTAATTAAACATTATTCACTCCACAGTCACGCCGCAAATTTTTTCCAATATGTTAATGCTATTTTTCATTAAAATAAATTCAAAAAATTAGGAAAAACGGTTGACCCTAAAAGCCATCCCTGCAACTTCCCGCTAATTCCATACCTAGGCGCTTAAAATTGCACTTATGACGTTTTTGAGCTCTTCGAGTTCAAAAATACAATTTATGTGTTATTTTGATCTCTCCAAGCTCAAAGAGTTAGCTGTTCTATGCTTTTGAGCTTTTCAAGCTCAAAAGCCTGATAGAAGTTTAATAAAACACTATTCTTTCAATTTTCAAACTTTCAATTTTCAATTTTCAAACAGTTAGCAGCATTCGACGCAGTTATTATAATCCTATGATGTACTTCTAAACCCAAATTGATCAGACCAAAAATTTTGGAGAAATTAAAAAAAATCACTTTTTCTGAATTTTTTCAACGACGATAACTCATGAATCAATCAACCGATTTTGACGTTCTTGGAGAAGTCGATGTAGTTTTTTAAGCTCTTATAGTTTTATTGTTAAAAAAAACTGACAGTAATCGTAGAGTAAGCTATAAACTTTCCGAAAAAAATTAGTTCCGTAAAGCTTATATAAAACCGCCAAATCGGTAGAGGAGACTTGGTAACATGAGCTGTTTTTAAGAAATAGTATTAAGGGGGTATTCTAGTCTAGAAGCATGAATTTCAGGTAATTTTTTGAATTTTTTTTTTTTAACTTTTCCCTAGTTCATGCCATAGCGACATTACTCTAGATTAATAATATTTTTTATTTATTTATTTCCGATTGCTAGGAGGGTTGGAATCGTGGGCATGGTCACGTGCCAATTTTTTGAGACCCCCCCACTTCATCAGCTGCTAATTCTTTGAATTTTCAACTTTTTTGATTTTTTTATTTTTTTCTGTATTCCTGAAATGTTAATAAATAACTTATAAAAAAATGGATAGTAAAAATATTTATTGCCTTTTTTTTACGGCACTTTAAAAAATTACCTGAAATTCATGCTTCTATAGACTAGAATACCCCCTTAAAGGAATTCACACCATAAAAATGCAGTAAATTATTTGAACGTGTTCAAAATTAACCAACTTTAAAATATCGCCAAATATAAGTGTAAAGATGGAAAAAATTGATTATGAATGTGATTCAATAAATTAATTAGTCAAATAATTATTTAATTGCTCAATTTATTATAGTCATAGCTATGTTTCAGAATACAAATTTTCAAATATTTGCTGAGTTATAAACACTTATTTGTTTAGTTGGAATAGCTTTATAAATAACCTCAGTAATGGCTATAGCTATTCTTTCCTGATTGCTGACTATATCCTGATTGGTGGCCACGTTCAATATTTTCTGAAGAATGACGACCAGATTCCCAGTTTCCTGATTGATGACCACCATGTCCATGCTGACGTGAGTTTTCATCACGATCATTGCTTTGCCAAACCGAATCGTCGTTTCTTGAAGAGTGAGTTGTTCGTCGAACAAAATTATCATTCCCAGGGTAGCGATCCGAATCAATGGAATGAGTATCATGATGTGACTGAGAACTTCCTTGACTGCTTCCATATCCCACTGCTCCGCCATATCCGTACGCAGCCGCGTTTGTGTAGATCTGTCCAAAAAAAATTTTAATTACTTTTTTTTTTACCTCTTTGATTTTTTATTGTATTGAAAACTTTGTAATCTATAAAAGAGTGTCTCAATGGAATAAAATTAAACTTACCGTCTGAGTAGCAAGTGCCATTAAAATAGCAAGAGTCGTTGTACTAGCCATGATGCTTCTGCTTCTATCGACAAATTATCGAAGAAAAATTGTACTGTGACAAACTAAAAAACTCCAGTCTTTTTATACTCAAATCGAGTAAATTTAAAACCTCTGGTTTTACCGTATTCTTCAACAACTCTAACAATACAAACACAGTAAAGACCAAAAAGTAAAAAAACCCCGCGAGTTTTTTCAAAACAAAATTCCCACTAATTATAAAAAAATCCACCCATGTTGGGTATTTCTATTATTCTCTTACGTTTAATTTTTCAACGTTCATTAATAGTCTTAAAACCACATGAGTTATAGAATATAAGTAAGTTAATATTCTTCATCGAATAATTAAAAAATTAGAAAAGCAAAATCTATTTTAACATCGATTACTCAAGATTATCATTTGAGGGCTCTAATTTCTTCTCAATGATCAAATTCTAGCTTTGGATGTGTAATAAACCCTTACTAATCCGAACATCGTTTTATTCACAAATTGCTCTCGATTACTCCAAGAATTATAATTCATTTATGAACTAAAAACATGAAAATAGTATACTATTATTCTCTTATAAGAGAAAACTTGTGCAGTCTATGTTCCGCTAATGATTGCACATTATTTTTTCCTCTGGTTTTTTTAGAACCAATCAACCGATTTTCACGTTTTTGGCGGTGATCGACGTGGTTTTTCGAGCTCTAATAATCATTTCATCAAAAACGATCTGAAGAGAAATTTCAAAGTTATTTAAACAAAACATTTTTTTTGAAATTTTTCATTCTCGATATCTCTCGATCGAATCCACCGATTTTGACCGAATTGGCGGAGATCGACCTGGTTTTTCAAGGTTAATAAGAGGTTATCAAATTTTAAATCGATAACTTCCCAAATCCTTTACGAAAAAAAGAGCTATTAAAAATTTACAGTTTCTGTAGTAATAAGAACTCCAAGCAAAAAACTGGAAAAATTATCATTTCAAAAACCACTTTTATAAAATAAAATTTCAAGTATTGTTTTTTACAATTTCGAATGTAATTTTACACTTTGAAATGTACTTTTTACAGAGTTTATGAAAATTCAATTTTCAAATTGTAATTTTCATTATTTTTTATTCAAGGTACCCAACTTTTATAAATTGTAATTTTTTTTTCCGTATTTCAAAATTCTTAATAATTTAAATATTATCCATAATTTATTGGAGTGTGTCGAAACAGCTTAGGAACGTATGAATAATAATTCATGTATGACGAAAGAAATACTCAAATTATAATCTGATGGCTTGCTGAACTATTATGCGATTTTTCTGAGTTTGATATGATACCACCCCATAAAAAATTATTGTATTTTCTTTTAGACCATTTAGAGTCACAGTATAATTAAGTCTAAATAATTTGAGAGTATTATAAAATGCAAAATGCAAGTCATTCTTTAATCCTCGTATTCCCGTTAAGTATCGGTACTTGAATTTACAACGAAGAGCCGCATTACAAGGGGTTCAAATTATTGGGTGATTTAACAGCATGGCAAAATGTCAGACTAAAGAGTAAATAGTCTGGTGACATAAACACAAGGCAACCCAAATACAACAACGAACAGCCCCGTTATCCTAACAAGCTGTCAAGACGTCGGCGCGTGTCACTCGACTTCTCATCCGCTCGTCCAATATATAAATCCCGTCTTCTTCAATGTCTTCTGTCTCTTTTTTTCATCTCAATTGCATTTTATTACACACGTTTATTCATATATCTATATATATATATAACATAAAAATTTAGTATTTGTTTTGTAAGCGCTCGGAATATAAGTGAAGGGAGTAAAATGAGAGGCTACTAGGCTTTATCTAAGCCACGTGCCGCTTAACTTGATCACCAAGCAATTTGGCCTCGTTTCAACCTTCGGTTACTTCAATACTTCTACTAACAAATAACATTGTCAACGACATATGAGGGTCCTACTGATTTAATTTTACTGTTGGGAGCATAAAAGATAGATACATTCACCAAGAGTGACCGTGTAGACTTGATAAATCCCGAAAGATGACAAAAAAATAATAAACACCTTGACAACTCTATTCTTCGTCCAACTAATTCAATAAAGACACTAATGTCATTTCATTGAAATTGTTAGTTATTTCCATAGCTTTGAGATTTGTTAAACAATTTTTATTTATATAAATTTTAATCTCAGACTGTAGACATGTCCTTTGTATATATCTATGCATACGAACTTATAAAAAAAACTTTTATCACTGTCAAGTTAACACTAACAAAAAAATTTACTTAATTCGAGAAAAAAAAAACTTTTGAAGCAAGATCATTTTAAAGAATTTGATTATTTTTAATCAAGCAGAAAAGCGATATGAATTAAGAAATTTTTTGTCAAGTAAATTTTACTTGATTCAAGGCAATTACTTTTTTTTAAGTAATTTTCTTGGTTCGAGATTTCTGTCTTTTCAATAAATAAAATTTACGGGGCAACCCCTGCCGATCGTTTTTAAATCTTGTGGAAGTATTCTCTATATATAAATTAATATCATTATACTATAATAACATTAATAATTTTTTAATAATATTTAACAAAAATTCTGGTGCACATTTTTTGTACGATTACAAATAAATAAAATGTTTCAGCACTGTCTGGCCTTTTTATAATAATACTGATATTTTTTTTTTTTTTTTAATTAAGATTTATTTTTTAACTTTTAGAGCTGAAATGTAACGTTCAATCTTGTAACGAAAGTGCAGTAATAGGTAACAATTTTAATCAAGTCAAAGAACAATAGATATTAAACAGGCCAAATTCGCATGAAATGCTTTGTGTGAAATAAAAAATTAATTTTTATTTTCAGGGGAACCGAGAAATGGAAAAGTCGCTCATGACCTTGTTGTTTACAGCGACTTAAAATAACTAATAAATAAATAATAAGAAATGGATAGTATGCTTAAACAAAACGTCTGAATAAAATTTAAACGCTTATTATCATTATTAAAACTTACATCACATTAATTTCATTTCAGTAGCGCGTTCAGGGAAACTATTGTTAATTTTTATAATTTTATAGCTTAACAACGAAGTGCACCTACAGAATTGTTTCCCCAAGATATATTTTCATATAAAATTAAACATCTTGCTAAAAAGATTCCAAAATTTGAAAAACTTTTTCTTTTCAAAATAATTTAAAGTTGAAATTAAATCAATCTATATAATTAAGAGTGTAAAAATAATTTCACGATGGGCATGTCTTTATTATAAAATAGATTTTAATAGTTAAAAAAATTAATGCCTTCAAAAAAGTATTGACCTGAATGTGTGCTTTTTTATTGTTTTATATATTTTTCAGTGATCAGTCAATTTTTTATGTTAAGTTTTTGAAGTTATTTTAAATAGATTGTTTGTTATATAAACTAGTTTGATCATATATTTCATTTTTCATAAAATTATTTATATTTGATCTTATCATAGAGATATTATTTTTTAAATTTATTTCAAGAGTACTCAAATTATCTATATTGTAATTAAAAATATCGAAAAATTAATTGATCCAAAGCTTTTTTTAATCATAATCTATAATTTTCGAATTCTAGGCAGTGACATGTAACTGCAGGTTATTGGTAAGTAATTATTTTGAAGTAGGATCTATATTTCAACTTTGAAGAATTTTGAGGTTTTTTTTTAATGATCATTTTTGCATACAAAATACGAAAAAAAATAAAAAAACTAAAAATTGCTCGACTTCTGTGGATACATTTTATTAACGATTTTCGGTCAATATAAAATTTTTATCACTATCAAAAGCTTCAAAACTGATTAAAAAAATTTACTAGATGTTTTTTTAGGTGAAAGGATAATAGAAAAATATATTTTTTGATTATTTTAATGATTAGTACCATACATATGCCGTAAAATAGAATAATTAAAAAAAATTATTAGAAAAAGTCTATTTTTCACTAATTGATTACCAAAAGTAATGTGAACACTATATTTAGTCAATTACTGAAAAATTGAACAATTACTCAATAATAAAAAAAAAAGGACATGTCTATTCACACTCAAAAAAGTCCTGATAAATCCGCGCTGCGTGGATTTAAGGCCCTTATCTTCACGCGGCGTGGATTTATTAGGACTTTTTTGTGTGTGAATAGACACTTCTTAAAAAAAAAAAAGTATAATTTTACAAATTTTTCTCAGTAATGTGAATGAAACCCTGAATTCCTAGATATCTTGATAGAAAAAGATAAACTCTTTAAATCATTTACCTTGATATATTCTAAATTATAAAAATAATTAAGCCTAGCAATTTTTCAGTCTTATCTGAGTAAGCTTCATATCATTTGAGCTTAAAAGCAGGTAAATAAAGGTATATTGTTTTTACTATAGTGAAAAATATACGTGGAATAATGTGAGTACACTGTCTCAAGAAGGAAGACCAACAATAACACAACGAGAACGGAGCGTTGACGAGGCGAGAACTTCCAATTAGTCGCTGGTTATTTAGTTACAACCGACTGGTGAAACACTAAAAGCCAAGAGTTTACATGAAGCTGTTTCGTGCCCTTTCCGGGAGTGAGAAGAATAAGGGTTAGTGCTGGGAGGCTAGAAAGCACCGATAATACACCAAAGATCTATATCTACATGACGTGTTTAAAAATAATTACCGTAAAAGATTCAAGATAGTCACGGAGTCACCCTCACCTATGAACCTATCTCCCCACTCAGATTTTTTCAAGTAGCACTCGTTTCGCGGCATAAAGGCGAGCAAAAACCACCTCCGCTTTAGTAAAAACTAAGGATCCACCACGCAACAAACCTTCCTCTTTTCATCCCTTTCGTCTACCCTCCACCGGTACTTTTCAAGTAGTACTCATCTTTCAACCACTCTATCACCAACGGTTAGAGAAATAAAGACTCAAGACATACTCGATTTCTTCTCTTTTTATTTCAGAGTGACGGTGATGAAAGAGGGATGAAAAAAGTTAACTTTTGAACACAATATATTCCAGGTTTTTCAAATCATTCACTTCAAGTGCTTACTCCGGTTCTTGTCCTGATATAATATATATAATATAATCCATCATAAGAAATATTCAGTATCTTAAGTGAAGCACTTACTGTTGTTGGTAGAAAATTATTAATCACGGCGTGATTAATATTGGTTGTGCCACTAATCTCAAGTTCCACTCAATTTTTTTTAACCCAAAACTTTTGGTTCATCAAACTTTACCTAAGACTCAGTCAATTTTGAACTGACGAGTTTAGATTTATTAACTTTGAATCAAAAACCAAATAATTTAGTGCTAAGGCACTATTTATTAATGTTTTAGAATGAGAATTCATAGATTTAATTAATTAAATCAATATATTGAGAAAAAAAAATTTCTTTCGAAAAAATAAAGTAATGATGTAATAAGAAATTAATTTGTTAAAAATTTTATTTCTTAGCTGAAAAAATCACAATTTTTCTCACAGTAACTTTCTTGTTGAAAAAAAGTTTTCTAGATTTGAAAAAAAAAAAAATTTTGTATAAAAATTCGCAAGTTGTCTATCTAAAACTTTTTTTTTCCAAATCAAAAAAACTTTTTTTCAACAAGAAAGTTACTATGAGAAAAATTTTGATTTTTTTTCGTCTTGTAAGTCTTAAATTATCGCAAAAAAAAATTTCAAAATGTAATATAATACTTATATATTCCATTCATATGTTTTATTTTTTACGAAAATTTTTTGATATTTGATAATGTTCTAAAATATTAATTGAATACTATACTACATTAATAATTGATTGATGTTAAAAATAAATTGTGCATGGGTTAACGCATATGGGACACTCCACAAAAAATTGATTTTTTTGTGGAATCACTCATATGTAAAAATGTACTGTTTTAAATTTTTTTCTTACATTCGTCTCCAGTTTTTATTGTATTATTTGTCTCTATTCAAAACTTAGTACCTACTTTACGATTCATACATTTATTGTTCTTAATTAATATACCTTCAATTTTTGTACTCGTATTCCTTTTTAAAACCAAACATGTATAAATTTTTAAATTACTCTACTTGTTTCTACCGTTGTACCTTTATTATACATTTAAAGTTCGAAAGCTCTACGGTACATTAAAATTATTCTTTCTATTATACAATGCCAAAATTTTAGAAATTTTGGTTTCCGAATGGGTTATTTTTTCTAGTATTTATAATTATTCAAGAACATTAAAAATTGTATAATTCTTTGAATACTGAGATTGGAAAAAATTACTTATTAATTTCATTTTTTATTTATATTATTAAAACTTTATTTTAATTAAAGTCAAGAAGGTTGAAAAAGGTTGTAAACCCGATAAAATTTAAAACTTATATTGCTCTACGGGAAATTGTAATTATTTATAACGAAGAGTTTAAAAGCTTGTAGCTTTTGTAACATAGTTTATGTTCGATTTTTTTATAATTATTTTTATTATTTTTATAGAATCATTATCATCAATGAGTAACGTATAAATGCGTTACAATCTTTACAAAGTATAATTTTGTTATTACTTTTTCTATTAAATTTTTTAACAATTAAATATTAACTCACATTTTTTATTTTCATACAATTTTTTGGGATCTTCATTGGCGATTATAAAATATTTTTCGATCATAAGATAATCAGCCTTAAAACAACTAATCCTTAAAATAATAATAACAATAATAATAAAATTATTATCTAGTTTTTTTTTTTTTATTTCACGAAATCGTTTGGTAATCTTTAGAGACCCCTGTCTATTATATTAAACTTATAACAAAAATAACTTAAATAGCAAAGTCTTATTATTTTCAGCTACTTTTTAAGTGCGTCTAAGAGTTAAAAAAAAATTCATTCAATGAATCTTGCAGTTATTCTCTACACTTATAAGTAACCAAAATTGATGTTATACAAAAGATCGGACGACCTATAATTGCACGCTTGTATTTATTTAGTTAAAACAAATTAAGATTATTTTTTACACGAACAATGAAAAATTATATTATTATTATTATTATTATTATTATTAAAAAATAGTATATTATGACATAGAGGAACAAGACGATTTCAGATAAAATCAAATGCTGTCTGTCTAAGCAAACTGAAAGTTAAAATTTATTAGCAATGAGTATTTTATCCTCTGCTACACATTAATTTTTCCTTTAATTTTTATAAAAATTAGTAGGGCATTTTTCAGCTGTCATCCAATGACTTTTTTGACAGTTTATAATAAACTAAAAAAGAAAAGACCATTCGGTTTCTGTCAGTATTGAAAGTGATATGAAAAAAAGTTTTGTACAATTACTTAATACAAAATACAATGGTTTGTATACAAATGATTGATTGTTAATCTTAATAATATTATTTTAGCTTCAACAACTGATGATACGCTTAATAAAAGAAGGAACATTTGTCTAAAGAATTTTTTTTTTAATTTCTGAAAAATTGTTTTTATTTTTTAGTAATAATTCCCAACAAGAAATTTCAAATTTCAAATGCTTTATTCATCATTTTCAAATATTTTTCATTAGGCGACCACTTGTTGAAGATTACCAAACAATTTTTAAAATATTTATTATTTAATTTTTATGAATAGTATATGTAAAAACATTGTACAAAAAAATTATAAATTTAATCTTACTGTCGGAAAATATTAATTTTGTGTAAATTATAAACTCTTTCAAGTAATCAATCAATTAACTTTAATTATAATAAGAGAAATAAAGTTAATACATAAAAAGTAATAATAATTTTTCGATGCCAAGCATGGCGAAGCGTATCAAGCCGAACACATTTTAAATTTTTTTATTTTATTTTTATCTTGTGCGTAAGTCATTTTATCATTTTTTTTAATGAACCTACGCATTATTGAATACTTTTTTAAAAAATAAGCATAAAGTATGTATTAGTCACATTAAATTATTTAATAAAGCAAGAAAATATTGTTTAATAATTAATGTTATTTTTTCAATTTATAATTTATCGAAAATGTATTTTTTTTTAATAATTTTCATTGTTATTGAATACACATTTTATCGTATCTAAAAATGTGTTAATTTTAATAACGTTTAATAAAATTTTACGTTCTTTTAATTACTTATAATAATGATATTTAAAAAAAAAAAAACTTAATAATTTACACAAGTAAAAAGAGAAAAACTACAGTACAAACTTAACGCTTCGAAAAATAACTACGACAAAAATTTTCTTCAAATGAGGTTAATAATTTATGAATCTAATAGAAAAATAATAACAATAGGAATGTGATTTTTTTCTCTAACATCCAAGATAAACAATTTATAATAAAGTCAAACTAACAATATTAGATACACGTTTAACGTATTAAACAGTATTAAGAGTTTAAGTAAGTCTTACATGACTTTATATCATCATATAGTACGACAGACTTATAGTTAACTAAAAATTTCTATGTATACATTAATATATATATATATATCAATGAAGAGGTCTCGTAGCACGTTGTTTTAATCGCGCTAGTAATTCACCATCATCCTCATTTCTTGATGTCGAACCTCTAAAACTTTCACTTCTATATTTATCTCTAAGAAACATTCGTCTTTCTTCTTTATATTTTTCAATTCTTTCCCGACAACGAGGGTCGCCCAGATCGATTCCCAAATTTCTTGACTGAAGTTTCTCTGTACTTTGAGAAGAAGACAATAGGTGTCCACCAACATTTGGTGTAGAATTATGCTGAGAATCATCAGACAATTGCTTTTGAGGCATTCGTACGGACTCACTAGTCATACGATTAAATTTATCCTCATCCAATGATCGACTTAAAGCAGCTCTAGTTGCTCTGGCCTGACGAGCACGTAAGCATGGCGGTAAATGTTGCGTTCCATTATTCGATTGTTCTTCAGTTTTACCCCGCAAACAATCGTCTTCTACCTTGGTCTTTTTATCAGTAACATTTTCACGCTTTATTCCTAATTCAAAACTACGTCGTTCTCGGGTACCATCAGACTCTAAATTTTTTGGTGAATGTAATGGCGTTTCACTTCCAACTCCTCCAGATAATCTTTGTAATGCAAGTTCTTGTAAAATTGCGGCTGTATCTCGTAAAACAACAGAATCATCAATGGGCGAAGATGCATTTGAAAAAGTGTATGAAGAATCCAGTGATGTAGTTTCTGATGCACCTTCTGGATCATGAGCTATTTCATGAGCTTCAGCTGCATTCTCAGACTGAATAACCACCTCTTCATTATCACGTATTTGAGTATTTGAATTTCTCTTCAATGTCTTTTGTACAACCTGTGATAAATACATATGATGGCTAGTAGGTTGTGATTTTCTAGAACTGTGACTGAAACTATGTCGAATATCCTGACATCGATTAAAACGACTCTTATCCTCAGTAATATTGCTTCTTTCAATATTCGACAAATAATTACTGGTGCGGATACACTGGACGTCTTTATTGGAATTTATTGATTCGTAATTTAAATGATTATTTTCTATACTCGATTTTCCAAGCATTACTTGACTCGATTCATTTAAATTACATCGATAAACATTTTCATTATCTAAACGTAAATTGTAACTACAACACTCATGTCCATGTTCCATTTTTTCAGAATCATGATGTGAGACTAAATTAATTGCACTTTCTGAACAACAGCGATTATTTCCATTACGAAGATCGCTACCATTATTACTTTTATTTTCACTCATGTCTAAAGATATTTCAGTAGATTCTTGTTGCAAGATAGAGCTATCTATCGGATCAGTCGTTGCAATACAAGATGTGCCGGTATCTTCATCTCCAGTTAAACCCATTGTGAGATCGAGAGAAGTTCTTGAAATATTGTCAGAAACACAACTTTGTCGTGGTGAATTTTTTTCGATACCAGAATCAACAGTCCCTTCAAGTTGATCTTTAGAACTACTTTCTACACTTGTTAACCGATTGACAGATTCATTTGTTTTTTCAACCATAACCCATTCCTCAGAACAGCTTTTATTATTCGTTACATTTGTAAAAACTTTATCAGAATTATCGCAAATAACAAATCCTGAATCTGGTAAGTCTTCAATAGTTTGCTCACAGGACATTGGTGAATCAAGATCAGTAATGCTGGAAGACGGCATGTCTACGGGTTCATTCTGATCAATTATTAAGCAACTGTCAATATCAACATTTTCCGAATTTATCATATTACCCGGAGGACTTTGATTCATTAGATCACAGCAGTTCTGACTACTACAATTAAATTTTTCTTCTTGGAAGCTCATAGCAGAATCATCAGAAAATAAATTTTTTTCAGTGGCACACGGAAGATTGAGTACGTCACATGATGTCATTTCTTGATCCGATAGTGTCACTATTAAATTATCGGATGATTTTTTAATATCATTTATTTTTGGTGATGATTCATTACTTTCACAAGTCTTTATTCTCTCATAAGACTTTACACTATTATGATCGTCTAAATTAATTGATAAACGTTGACTAGGAGGATCTAAAGACAGTTTTTCGGAAGACAGATCTTCTTTTGATATTTGAGTATGACAGGATTGATCATCTAGGTCGAGGGGTAAAGTAAAACTACGGAAACTTATCCGAGGGCTATTTCCTGTCTTAGGTGTCAAAGAGATTGGTGTTGCCTGTAAAGTAGATGGACTTATTGGTGTAGAAGCTTCTGATAATAATGGCAGGTAACCTGGTGTTGTCAGTGGTGATGGTGTCTCAATTCCATGGATATCTGCAGACACCATTATTTGATCTGGACTTTGACTGTCAATAAATCTTAATTCTACGTCACAGTGAAGACGTTCTTCAAGACGTGATCTTTTTCTTTTACTACCACCACTTACAGCAATACATAACGAGCCTTCGTTTCTTTGACGCCGTGGCGATGCTTCTACTGACGCTACACCACCACTTTCTTCCTCTGAAAACATTCGCATTTCTCGCTCTTCAAGATCAAAATTAAGTTGTATCTCAGAAAGATCAAGTGGAGATACAGAACTTGGTGCGTCTGCAAGATGATCAAAATATGAATCATGTGAAACTGATCGACTGTGACCACATGGTCTGTTGGGTGGTGGGCCCATTAAAGGACCGAGATTATCTTCTCCATCAAGACTGTCAGCACTTTTAACCGGTCTTAATCGTCGCATAGCATTAAGAGAACTTGATAAAGCTTCTATTTGTGGTGGAGTTCCTACTTGTCTTGTTTTACCACGCGCCCCAAATCCACCACGTCCAAAAATTGCACGCCAGTTCAATGAAGGTGAACGTTTTGAACCATTCCGTTTCCTTGGTAGCTCAATCACTGTGTGATAGTGTGCAGGTAAGCCAGCTGGTCCGGCGCCTACTTCAATGTACTCCGAATCATTTCGCAAAGAACGGTTTCTCGCTTCTTCAAGACTCAATAATCGAGCAGGAGTGGTAATTGCCAATGATTTAGGTCGACCAACTGGGCCATCACCGAATATTAATTCCGCATAACAAACAAGAAATTCTGTAACTACAGCTTGAACACCGACACCTTGTAATGCTGCTACACCACCAACTTCAAGTTCCTTGCATCGCAATAGATTAGGAGCCCAAACGATTGCAACATTTCGTGGTGTCATACCTGTATCAGCCCCACGTGCTGCGACTCTTACTAAATGTCGCATTAAATACTCCAATGTTCTGTAATAAATAAAGAGATAAAGAAATTAATAACAAATTAAATATAAAATTAAATTACTTTATATTGATCTATTTATAAATAATTTTTTCATCTCACTTTTTACCTATAAAAAAAGTTAGTATTCAAATGTAAGTTAGGTAAAAGTAAGTCTGATATTTAAAATTATTAATAACAAAATTTTATAATAAATATGTAAAAAGAAAATTCAACCTGTAGTGTGGAGGAGGTAGTTTTCTAACGGCATCTCTCATTCTTCTTAATCTTTCTGCATCTGTATTAGCTTGAACGGCAGTGACAAAAGTAGAGTAAAGCTGATAGGTACATAATGGATTAGGTAACTCTCTAAAGTACATTTTCAAGAGTGATGCTACCGAATGAATATCTTGAAGTATACTCTCATCTGAATGCAAAGCAGGAACGCGATCTTCATCAAATGCATGACGTAGCCGTTGAATATTTGATGTTACACCGCTTAAGCGATAAATACCGTCTACCAATCCATGTGTTTCAATGAACTCGGCACAACACTTCAACACAGCTGGTACTGTAATCATAAATAATAATCAAAACTTATTTTCTTATCTATAATAGTTATAATAATAATAATAATAATAATAATAATAATAATAATAATAAATCGTACCATCTTGACCAGAGTTAAGAAGATGTTCTCCCAAATCACATCCAAAAACTCGTTCTTTAAGAATTCCAGATTGTTTTAATCGTCTCCTAGAAGGTCTATTAAGAATAAAAGACCTAAAAAAAGCAATAAGCTTTCCATGTTTTCTGAGAACGGGTTTAACGGGTAACTTTGAACGTACAATATTAGACACGGTCAAGTGACGAGGTACTTTGTCACCAATCACCGCGACGCAGTCAGCAGGAAAAAAACCAACGGCAAAACCTTTTTTACCACGCCACCAATTACTCTCTCCTGGTGGTGGCATGTCAATAACTGATATCATATCTCCAACCTAAAAGGATGAACAATAAATTAATAAAATTTATTTTAGTAATTTGAGAACGAAGCACTTGAAATTTATCTTCTTAATATATCAATACAGACTAATCGCATTTCTTGTTGATTGATTTTAATTAGATGTTATAAAGCATTTCTGTACGTTAAACAATACATTAGTGGATGTTGTCCCAATCAAGAACCGAGATCGTTGTCGTTGGCTAACACAAGAGCCTCAATTTCCCACGCGTATATTGAGTAATAAACGCCTAACATGCTTTCGCTTATAGAATGTCAGAGTACAAGAAACAAGCATTGATCACTCAATTACAAATTATATTATTTATGATTTATTATCCGATTCCAGATGTGTCGTTAAATATCTTTAAATAAATTGCTACCTGAAAAGATATTTCATCCTGTGCTTGAGCAGTATACGGCCTAACCGCATAAGCAGCTGCTACAGCCGGTGTATTAATTGGACACGAGTCAGATTCAGGAACTAGAATTCTTCTACCACGATTATCCAACTGTAGCCAGTTGAGTACGGGTCCACAATTTAATCCATCGTGATTCAAATTTGAAAAGTGCTTAAGATAAGCTGCCAACAAATCTTGAGTATTGTCTGGTTCAACTTCTGGTAGTTTAGCAAGCGATGAGAACTTGCGGTCATAAATACAACGATGTAGTTGCCTATCAAACATAATAAAATTTTCGTACGAACGTTGAAGTGTCCAACAAGCGTCACCTGAAGTAACGCGTACTGCAAAACTTGGGTCGTTTGGCACTTCAGTAACTGAAACCTATTAAATTAAAATAATTTAAATGTAAAAATATTATTGCTTTTACTTTATCATTAAAAATTAATAAAAAAATAAAAAATATTAACAAACCTCAAGATCAGTAAGTTCTACATGCTCGTAATGAAAATGAGCACACTCATCAAGTTTTGGAAACCTCGCCACACTTCCCATGTTGCTGCCTGAGCTAACTGGTGTATCAAAGTCTTCTGATCGATTGCATCCCAAACTCTGAAAAACAAAAATAATTGAATATCAATCAATTGAATGTACTTTATTACATTAATAAAAATATGTCGTTCACTCATTACTTCTTTTTCGATTAAATATTTCAATTAAAAAATTAATTTTTCAAGATAACATTAAAAAAAAAAAAAAATTATATACTATAGTAAATTTTATTACTAAAAATCAAGATATTCTTTTACAGCAGATTTTTTTCAGTTGATTGGAATGTAAAAAAGAAAAAATTTTCATTAAAAAAAAAAAAGAAATATGATAAAGAAGAAACTAATATTATGAAAAGAAGGTCTTCTGTTAGTTCATGCGGGTCGACCACGACCTCGCGTCTGCGCAGCATTGATACTTATATGTGACAAGAAAGAGTTTACAGAGATGCATTTTACAAATACCGTGAAGCATATTTGACGCAAAATTATTAATTTGAATTCAAATAAGTATTATTTACATCTACGTCATTGCAATCACATACGTTAACATTTAAATATATGTACATCATTATTTATGAGATTGATAATTTATCTGATCTATAGGTCATGCAATAAATTTTCTTTTCAGACTATTTGCCAAAACAATGATTGGTCTTATTGATACCATTATGTCAAAGCAAAATGTTTTGATCAATAAAATTATTTCAAGCGACACTCACACATTCTTATTTTCAAACTAACTAATAAATAATACGGTAAGAAGAAACATGAAAATAAAATGAGAAGTAAGAAGTAGCAACAGATTTCAGTTGTAAAAATAATCTTTTTACAGTCTCTATAACTAATTATTTTTTTTTCATTGCTCGCTTGAAAATTATGGTATGTGTATAAATTTGCGCGCCTTTTTCTGTCTCGCGTTTTTAATAATTTTTCGACATTAAAATACAATAAATTATTATAAATATTAGCAAATTAAGGAAATCCTTTCGCTCCAGTTGAGTCAAAACAATTGTAGTAGTCAATATACGATAAATTAAAATAAAAAACCCATAAAAATTCCTAAAATTAAATAATAAACTTAAATTAAATAATAAAATTAAATAATAAACTAACATTTAAAAATTTTATTTTTTCAAAAATTTGTCCGGTAAAGTATAATTTAAACCTCACTATTAGATAAATAAGGACCTTAACTATTAGAAAAAAATTTAATTTACTCATAATCTAATATTTTTTATTTTACATTGGCGGCGAAAGGACCTCCTTATTAAATATTGTTTTTTTTTAATGATACTTAATAAATTTATAAAAATCAACTTTAATAAAATCTTCAATTAAAATAATAATTAGTGTTACTTAACAAACACAACTTTGAATCTTTTCGATTATTAATAATCACAATTATTTTCACAAACGATCGAAGCTGAAAGACACAGTTTTAAAATGTATTAATGACTTGACTTGAAGTAAAATATTCCTTTATACAAAAATGCAAAGGTAAAAATAAAAAAGAAAAAAGGTGAAAATGAATTTTTTTAATTTTCTGTTTTTGTTGTGTTTTAGAGGAATAAACATACTATACACGGAAACATGACCACCTCATCTAGTCTAGAATAAAAGATGAAGCTGCCACCTGGCACGTCACATCTTCAATATATCTGTATATAACATTTATATTAGAACGTTGGAACAACAATACTCCAGGGAACACCCGGGTGTCACTGGATCGTCCGACATATTACCAGATCTTTTCCTTCTATTCACGCCTCGCAATCGTTTATCCTTTGCAGGGAGTTATTTTCCTTGTCTCACTATTACTTCTATACTATTACCTTTTGACCGTTCTCTCTTAACTTGGCATCGCGACGACGCAATGCATGTCGTGCCGCATGCGTACACGATTGACTTGTGCTTAAAGCACTACTGATGATGATGATGATGATGATGATGATGATGACAGTCCATTCCAAATCAAGATTATAATCAATATACACCAACCTTATCTTTATGTTAAATTAATGATCATTGTAATGGACAGCACATAGCCAGCTTGCCATAGAAATAGCTGCGCGTATAGTGCATATCATCAAAGAAAAAAACAACCGATGATATTTTTATCATATAAAAATTAAATTTAACCATTCAACAATGGCCTGTCACGCAGCAATAATTTATTAATTTAAATTCTATACCCGCATATGTCTAAATCGTTGTTATTCGCTCCATTGTATTCATGCATATTTATAATATTATACATATAATGCTTAATAACTATAAACATCTGTATACCTCAAATTGACTTGAACAGCTGCTGCAACCACTAAGAACACGTCGCATCATAAAGAAGTTGGTTATTGTCGTTTTAAATCTAAAGATTTATGTCTAATGAAGTATGTTTTACTTTATCTCCATTATCATTAACTGTTCAATGCTGAAGATTCTTTTTAATCTCGACTACTGAGTAATTTACTCAATTATCACATTTTTTAACGTCTTGATCCATTATTTAGAAGTAAACATTGTAAATGTTACAAAAATATATGTATGATACTTAGAAAATAAGTCTTTGGTTTTTAAAATGTATGTTAAATAAAAAAAAAATGACTATAATTTAAACAAAAGTAATTGTTAGAGCCGAACTTTTACAACTATTAAATCAAAAAAGTTGAACTAGTGTATAGGCACTCTAGTATCACCGATATTACATTTTCAGCTCGTTTGTGTCCTCATCAATGTCGTCGCGGTGATTTTTAATGTGCCAAGTATAACGGCGTTCTGAAAGTAAACGCGACTATATAAAATAGGTCACGTTTGGAACTCTTGGAACCAGACTTCAGTAGTATTCACGGCCGTTCCGAGGAGAATTTAAAGTCCGTAAAGATAACGTGACCTGCGCTCTTCAATTTATTTATATTATTGTTTCATTTCATTGATAATATTATTTAAACTTTTAACTTTTATCATCTGCATTCTTCATATTGCCCAGATAATTGTAATTTATAATAACATTTGGTTATTATAATAATTGAATGATAAAATTTTTCTAATGTGTATTACCAAGAAATACTAATTTTTAAACTTGTTTCTTTTGATCTTGCTCATAACACGAGAAATGTATTTTATCTTACTCATGACTTGTTTGCTGTTTGATAATTTTTAATTTGAAAGTTATTAAATAAACACCGAATATTAATTACACTTGGAAAATATTAATCACATGGTGAATGTCCAGCTGGAATTAGTTTTTAATAAAGATTAATATTTTATAGCAATTATGTGCAAAGTTGCTTTTAGCTACTGTAAAATAAAAATTAAAACAACTATTAGTATGAACGAGCACGAATGTTCACGTTAGTATGACAATTTCTGTAGGCGAATACGTAACCAGGAAAAGCAGAAAAGCAAGAGAGTCTAAATGAGCAAGACAGCATTCCAGAGTACTGTGTACCAGTGCGCGCGAGATTCTATCGATTTTCTCTCATGAAGCTACATGGAAGAACGTGCTTAATTGTGACAGACTGGAAAAACATTACACCAGGTAACTGATATTATAACATCAAAAAAGTAAAATTACCCTCCTTTGCATAATAACTTTTCATTTAAAAATGAAAGTAAGATGTTATAAAGAATGATACTTATTTGAATAAATTCAGTTAAATGGTTAATAAAGTCATAACTCTGTACATGACGATCAGCCGTTGAAGTGCAGAGCAAACTATTCATTGTTCTGAATTATAATACGTTGCGCCTTTTGAAATTCATTTAATAGAGATGAATTCATTGTAAAGTTTAGAAAAATAATTTGTCAATAAAACGATCAATTAATATGCAAACTTATTTTGTTATAAATAACTGTTTTAGGTACGAAAAGAAGAAATAAATATTCAAATTTCAATCTCTTACACATTTTATCTGCTATCCTCCTAAAATACAGTATATTATTTATGTTATGATCTTGTAAAGAATTTTTACTGCATATACTCTAGTTCTAGTTTCATTGTACGCTACCGTAAATTAACAATAAACTCAATGTTTTTTTTTTTGTTTTGTTTAAAAAAAAAGTCTGAAGATTTTGAAAAATTAAGGTAATTATTTTGAAATAAGGTCCTCAGTATTTTAACCCTGATAAATCGCTAGACTTATGTAAATACATTTTATAAACTATTTTCAGGTGATATAAAATTTTTATCTACACTAATAGCTTAAAAACTAATGAGAAATATATTTCTGACTATTTTAATGATTGGTATCATACATATAACGTGAAAAAGAATTATTAAACCAAATGTCTATTTTTAAATACTTAATTGCCAAAAATGAAGTTGACCTTATTTCTAAGTAATTATCAAAATTAATTTTGAATTTTTTTTTCTTGATCTGATTGATAAGTGTTATTGTTATTCAATTCAAATTACCAAGATTTTAATAGTGTTTCATAAGACTGTAGAAAGTTTTTAAAATCAAATTCACCAAAATTTGCATGGTTAAAATTTAATTCTAATTTATACTTATTAGAATAAAAATTTAGTCATATACTAATATTGTGTTTTTTATTATTTAAATTTTTTAAAAATACAAATGGATCTATTATATGTTAAATAAAATATCATTGAACCTAATCATATACACTTATACATGACTAAACATAAAAATTTCATATTAATCAAGCCTGATCAGATCTAATGATGTATACATCTCTATGTGATTATAAATGGATTTATACTAGAGGGATCGGATCAAATCTAATTATTTTGTATAGACCTATTTATAACTACTCGATTCTAGTTCATCTAGTACAAATTTATGTTAGTCATCAGAAGTTATCAATTCTAATTGTGCATATGATCGTTATACAACTTCACATAAAGCTATACACATGATACACAAGACAGCGATTACTAAATTTAATTATTTAATATGACCATATATGAATTCATATCAAAGACAGACATCATCATTTATAATTCCGTGCATAATCATAATCATACATAATTATATGTAATTAAACCAAATAACTTTTTCCCGAATCCGGCTGAGTTGAGAAATAAAAAATATACTGTTTCGAGATAAACTTCTTTTAATCCATATATTTTTTCATTTTCTCAAGTAAGATTTTAGAAAATTAAATTCGTGAGGATTTAGAGCAACAACCGGAGCTGACCCGGAAGCAATTTACGAACGTCAAACTACTGAATACTTTATACACACAAGTGCCAAATGATTTAGATTTACTCTGTCTATAAATAAATTTTGTTTTACCAACAAATGTAAACATTTAACAAACTTTTGCTATAAATTATATTCGACAAAAATTTAATGTATTGCAATAGTATTCAACATACATATTTTACGTGTGATTGAAAATTCGTAAGAAATTTACTAATATTAATAAATCTGAAAACTGATAGCATTGCAATTTGTATTAAAAGAATAAACGCACATCAAGAACTTAAATAAAAATTTAGTTATTCTATCGGTAAAATAATTATAATTGATCACAACGATTTAACTGCTTATTTCTAATTCATTATAATAATTATAAAAAAAAAAAACAGCAGAAGTATAATTTATTATATAAAAATTAGGGTACAAACCTTCAATGTTACGTATATATTGAGTCGTGTTCATAACGTAAAACAAAAATGTTTTATAGCGAAAAGATAACTTCCACGGTGAATTTATTGATTTTAAAGTAATCTAATAACTGAAATTTAAAAAAAAAAATTTTTTTCGTTACGAAATATTGTCGTTTTACGTCATGATTACGTGTTTTTCAATTTATTATGAGATTAACGCCCAATAGTCTAAGCCAATAATATTATTCAGTCATAGTGTTAAATATCATCTATAAATTTAGTATTCATGTGAATATTTCAGCGTATACTAAAAAATTAACTAATTCATTTGCCAACAAAAAACTTGTTGTACAGTCTGAAAAGACATTCGTTTTTTAACTTTAAAAATCAATAAAAATCATGGACCTTTTCTTTGCCATATATATTTTCATACTGCGTAGAGATTCATTAAAAATTGATGGTGTAAAAAATCAAATAGATAATCAGTTCTTGTCAAATTCAAGTTAAATTTAAAAATACACTTCGCGTATTTTCCGTAAGGATTTACTCAGTCTACTCTTAATAAAAACAATATCAATAATAGTCTTAAGTGGTCAAAAGTTAAAAAAAAGAGTTACAAAACTAACTGAGATCCAAAAAATTGAACGCTTCAGTTAGACGCCTGACAGTCCTAAAATTTAGTAGAACTATTACACCGTGTAGACATTAGCTAAGAACAAGCTTCACGAAAATTAAGTCATACATTAAGCAATGAACCGAGGGTATGAGAAAGTGAAGTACTTTTACTTTAATTAAATATACGTAATAACTAATATAATAATATTAATATGATTTACGTATTCTAATTATGAATCCTAATAGTTTAGGGAAATAGATACGGAAAATCTCACTAGAAAAAAATATGAAGTTATAACAATAATTTCAAATTCGAAAATAATTATTTTAAGATTAAACTTACGCCCAATGATTGATGCAGACGGGTGAGCTACTATAAAATATGTTTTATTCTTTGTTAATTAATATAAGAGACTCACTTTTGCGGTTTGTGGCTCGATGTTGTTCAGCCGCTGTGCACGGGGTTTCTCAGCCATCGGTCCCGGCATCATTGACAGCCTCCTTGGCAACGTGGATTAACGATAACGTAGATGTAAAAAAACAATACTGGACTGTTGGCCCAGTTTTCCACGCGCCAGGTCGACGCCAAGATAACTTCCAAACTGAGGGTTTTAAACAAATGTTTGATGCTCCATTTCTCCCTCACATAGTAAGCTGAAATATAAATATACTTCAATTCAATACATTTATAAACCATGGAATTTTCATTAAGCTCAACAGTTTATTTCAACTTGAAATTTCAAAAAGAGTAATGATCAAAATAATTTTTTTTTTATTGCAATAAAGGGTAAAAATTATCAAACGCCTTTATTTTTTTAATCTAGATGTTGACCTATAAATAAAATTCGCTTTTTGTTCGAAATTTTTTGTCAAACCCAACCCAAAAACTAGATTATTAAAAACATAGTTTTATTTAACCATAAACCTTGCGAAAAAAAATTTAAAGCACTTAAATAATTTAATTATAATACACATTGTGTATTTTTTATAGTTTAAAAATGATTGAATTTTATAACTTGTATTAATAAGAGTAAATTAGTTCTCAGTCAGTTTTTTTAAAACGTTACATCCAAACTAAAGATAAAAAAAATACAAAAAGAAATAAAATTTAAGCCTTAAATAAGAACGCAATATAACTTCCATTTATAAAAAGTAGTTAGTACATCCGCTTTGCTACAGCTCAACACGTTGTCATCTCAAAAGTGATCACTTAGTAACCATAATAAAACTAAAATTCAACAGTAAATTCAATGAAATGTACTCAGTGCTTAAGAGCTTTAAACATTGATTGAAATTTTAGATTGAATAATTACTAGGATTGAAAGTAATAAAGTTTTAATTGTAACGTGGCGCTCACTCGTTTCCGGTACAGTCGATTAATGAGTAAAACAGTAAGAAACCGTTTGAGTTTACAGTTTCCCCTGGTATTAAATGGCACTTGTGCAGTTGCGACAGACTATTTTTACTCACTTTTGCAACATACGATCAATCGATTGTTCCTGAGGAACCATAAAAGTTTCCAGCTGGCTATTATTAATTGACAATGTCAATGAGTCACGTAGCTGATCGTAAAAATATGCTGACATGCTGTTTGGTATAAATATGTTATTATTTTGTTTTTCATATTAATTAAAATCGAGGCTGGTGGTTACATTTTTGCCAGGAAATTTTTCATATGTTCGACACGTGAAGGGGCGTTGAAGTCTGCCGAGAATTAAAATGTCTTCTCGATTGCTTGTTGGTGTTCTCATAATGAAACACTCATATAATTTTACTCGGATATCCGTTTATTTAGAAAAAATGCTTAATTTATTCAAATTAAAATAGATTATCGTTGGATTTCACAAATAAATTTAATACTCAAAGGATCTTTGAATAACAAATTTTTCATTATTTTATTCAATTTTTCAATTTTTCTTAATTTGTTATAGTTATCCACTAGGATAAAATTAACTTCAAAATCATTGAAGATGATTCCAATTAATCTTATTTTAAATTAATCAAGTTGCGTTATTTCAGCTGCGTTTTTTCTTTCTTATGAAGAATTAATAACAATTGGACTAATAATTTTTTTTTGTAACATACTTAAAAAATACTTTTTGCGTTCAAAATTGAAAATTTTTGTCGTTATAAAATAAAAATAAAGCCATAAAATAACAACGCCCATATTTTAATTGGTATCATTTTTAATAATAATTCAATGTATGTTAGGCAAAAGCATCAATCGTCTATCTTAATAAATCAGTTGCTTTACATTCAATTATTTCTTCGAAGGAAAATAATTTTCATCAATGGAGTCCCCCCATCATCAGCGTAGTTTTTTTTTCAACACAATTTTTTATAAAAATACGCTACTGAAAAATATGAAGGAATCTAATAAATTTACTAATTTTTAAGTGGTTTTTAGAAGTTTGTATCTTAGTAATTGAATGGCTTTTTGAAAATTTTAAGAAATCTTTTGAGTTAAAAAATTTGGTTATCTGAGAAAAAAGTATTAGAAATTTCTTAAAGTTTATATAAAAACTTCAAAAGATTTTCTGTAATATTACTCGCATAATATAAAAATTACTGAAGAAACTTTTTCTATAAGTCCGAAGTTCATTAGATATTTTTTGATTTTATTGATACGAAAAAAACTCTTGCAGTATCTGATTTGTAAAGCTTTTCAAGTTTAAAGAAATATAAAAAAAAAAAACATCTGTAAAAATAAGCCATTGGAAATAATTACTGATAGTTATGAATAAACTACTTCAATAATGAGTATAAATAAAATTAATTAGGTAGTTAAATTTCGGTTGTCAATTTTTTAAGCTCTAATCTTAAAAGAAGTTCGATTTTTTCCAAAATATGTGCAGTGGATGCACAGAATTAGACTTGTAATAAAAAATCCAATTTAAGATAAAAATGATATACTTATATCTTAAACTTATTCGTCAAGTGAGCCGATATTTGTAGAACGGTTCATGAATACATAATAAATATTTAATCCACAAGTTGGAGGTTAGAATCGACACCAGATGTTGAAAGCAAACTAGTTTAAAAAAAAACAAAAATTCTGTTTGAAGAACAAAAAAAAATCAACGAGCATTTATTACAACGGATACTGGGGATAGGAATGACCGCAGTAATTCCCGCGCGCTTTATCTCTCTTATCAAACCCGGAATGACCTGGCATCAAATTATGCACTTAGCATCAAAAGAAAATTCATCGAGTTTTATCATAATTATGTCAGTATTATTATGACATTTAATATCAGTACTCCTATGATGTACTGTACATGTACCTACAACCAAATAAACTTTCATTAGTTCATAAATAACAGAAAACATATTTTTTTTATACAATCGTCGTTACTGTTATTATCATCGCACTGTGTACATTTTTTATGCATTCTTTCAAGTTAGTATAATAGAATGTGTATACATATAAAATATACAACACAGACTTTATTTATATGAAGAAAAGTGATAAAATATCTAAAAAAAAAAACATTTGTTAGACTCAAGACGGCTGCTATGTAATTCAATACAAAATCAAGAAATAAGCATAGAGAATTCATTTATTTTCAACTGATTAAACAGTACCTTAGAGCTATTTAAATTTTGTAATTTTTCTTTTATTATTGAATACAGCAACCTACCTAGATAATAATTTATATGTGTATATAATATATACCTTATGATTTTAGACATGGGCTACTTTTCCGAAGTTGAGAATCTCTGTTTTATCCAACTATAAAAATACTACATTTGCCGGACAGAAGAGTAAATGTCGCTGATGCATGATTTTGATGCACAATAATTAGTAATGGAACAGATGATAACTTCAATTATAAAACTCATCATACAGATGTTCCCACTTCTGTATTTTAATTATATTTTTTTTCACCAATACGTTTGTAAATTTATAAACTTTTGCACTCTACCGTAATATTTTGATTATAAATTACATAGAAACTGATTTTATAGTTGTTCTGTCAATCGTAACCAACACACAACTTGGCTTGTTTCCCATACATGGGAATTAAGAATTGAGAAGCAAATAAATAGGATACATGCTGTACATATCCATTGCAATGAATGCGTTGCAGCACTTATATCACTGCGCAACATTTTATACGCATACTGTTCGTTTCATCGAACATGCCTCACTTTTTTCAACGCGCGCATAAGCGGGAACATTTAAATCAAACAATGACTGATTGAAAGTAATAAATATCATAATTGTTATTATTAATATCATTTAACAAAATGTTTGCTTAATACATTGTTTTTCTAATTAATATTCAATTTCATAATTTACAATTAAAAATAATTTTTACTATCGCTTATTTTGAAAGTCATAATTACTATTATTATTATTATTATTATTATTATTAAATAATCCTAACAATTTAACAAAAATAACCTTATTTAAAGTTCCGCTTTGAGTAGTATTGAGTAATTGAGAACATTGTTGACGAAATTCATCATTAGTGCTTGATATAATAATTTTTTCAATTGCAGAACTCAACAACTTACAACTGCTAAAAATCTCATCAGTATTATCTGAAATATTGTACAGCAATTCATCGTCGAAATTAAAAGTATATTTCAAATTTGAATAAAGTTCATTTAAATTAAGAAGTTCTTCTGATAAAGATTTATTAAGTAGTTTCAATTCTTCTTTTTTTAATTTATGCTATAAATAAAAAAGGTTAATTATTGTATGTTCAAGTACACTAAATTCTCTAATAGTTAAAATTTATTTACCATAATTCTGATTGTTAAATATTTATTTAAATAAGGGTGATGGTGGAATGACGATATAAGTAAGTCGCCGTTGAAATTTTCGGGTTTTTTCTCCCACTCCCACAATTTTTCTCCCTCTCACAAAAATAGAATCAGTTGACAAACGAAAGAACAGTCGCTCTTCAAACTAACAGTTGGTAATTTGTTGATCTTAACACTTTATTTTCACGTGTAGAGGTCAGCATCAACATGATTAATGATCATAATTCAAAGAAGCAACTGGAAATTATTTAATTGAATTTATCCTCATTGTATGTAATGTGTGTATACACTAGTGCGTGTGTAATATTGTTTAAATTTTGAAAATAATTATTTAATTATTATAATAATTAACTTTTTGTATGATATTGAAGTTAGCTGACAGCTGTCAATTTTTTTAATTTTTATAACAAATCTATTATAATAATAAAAATGATTTTCAAAATTTCCACTATTAATTTTTTTTTAATTTTCACATGTGGAATTTTTATGAAAATGAAGTTGACATTTCAAAATTTTTAGAAATTTTTTTATCCAAAAAATTTCAATTAAACAATAAAAAAAAAAATATCACTTGTTAAAAATTTGAAAAACTATAAGTGCAATTTTTTAAAAATATCTTTTTAGTTGTAATTTAATTAAAAAAAAAAAATCAAAAATTTTTAGATCAACTTCAGTGTCATAATTTTTGTATATGTATTTTGGGTCAAGGAACCCGAAAATGAGGTTTATCTTATAGTAGGATGATACAATCAATCGTCCGTAACAAATTAATTGACTAAAAGCGCTAGAATTCCGCAACCGTTAATGTGAAAGCGCAGTTGATCTGTAAATAATGTTTAAAATAAAAAATTACACAAAAAAAAAGTCCGTTTCACTTTAAAGTTATATAAAAATATTTTTAAATCGACGATTACTTTCGTTTTTTAGTAAGGCTAGGCCGGAGTAAATCTATTTTTTTTTTTTAATTTTATTTTTCATTAAAAAAAATTTTTGAATATAGCAAGTATTATGTTATTTTTCAAAAACTTCATTTTATTCGATTTCAAAATCTATTTAAGACGTAATTAGAACAATAAAATTTTTGAAAATTAATTTACTATGACCCACTTTTGTGACCTGGGACGGATACTTACTGATTTCCGGACGAAATTCGTGTATTCCCACAATTATGTTGTCATGTAATGCCCTCTATAATAGGTAGCTAGGAGTAATTGTTTATCTCCATCGATAATATGAAAGAATTAGATTTTCTTTCCCCTCTTACTATTATTAGGTATTTGTCTTTTCCTAACGTTTTCGTGGCAATCTACATAAATAGCTGTAACTCGACGTATATATTATGTATACACACTCAATCAACATAAATCTATACAAAGAAAAAAAGCCCATGATAAATATCGTGAATAATAAAATATAATTGTAATAATAATTGTTTTGTTTTAGATTTAGTGATTAACGTCAGGTGTATTTTTTAAAATTAAATTTAGTTTTTTTTTTATCAATTTATTATCGAATATTGAGTAAATCAATTTACATAGTTATCTAAAAATTTGCCTTTATTAGTGTATTAAACAGAGCAGATATAACGAATGTCAGGAGACGAGCAAAAAACTAATCCTAACCTCCACCAGGAGCGAGGGATTCAACAACAACGTAAAATTCGTCACCGGTAAGTATCATTCATTATTAAATTGTATTTTAATCATTTTCCATTACACTAATCCATATAATTTTTATTGTATTAAATTTGTGTTTAAAATTTTTTTTTAATATTTAAACGAATATCATGCTTAATTGTGAGTCGCATGTGATTTTTCATGGTATCTCATAACATCCTTCCGGACCAATCACAGCGTCTTTTTCGTGGCCTGACATTCTTATTGACCAATCACATCATTCTTCATATAAACATTTTTTTTTTTTTAGTATTTTAATTTTTATTTAGTTACGCTTTTTTTTGTTGGAATTTAAAAAGATTGTATGAAATACTTTTTTTAAAATAATTATACAATTGTTAATATAATAAATTTTTAGTTTATTAAATAACATAGCATTCTGGTTTTTAAACAAGAATTGTAAATGTTACCTAAATTACAAATCAAATATTATCACCAATTTATTACATTTTTGAGAAGAAATTAATCTAGAAAATTAATCATTGGAACGCTTCTTATATTTATAATTACACATTAGTAACAGTTAAATTAATGTTTGAGAATAAAATTTTTTTAAGTCAAAATTTAATTCCAGCTCTAGAATTTAATATTGTAATTTGGATAGCCCTCTCTCAACGATAAATGTGTTAAAACTTTACAAAATGTAAAGATTTTTAATTTTATACAAATTAACTATAAAAATAGTAAAGATCAGGGTAATAGTGATTTACAATTGATTAATGCTAATCGTACTGAGCACGTGTCATTATCTAAATCTATAAATAATTGTAATATAGAATATAATGATATGAAAAATGATGTTTTTTAATTATTTTTAAGATATTGATGGTTACTTAAAAAGATGTGATACCCCGCAATCTACTGATAATTAATCGAAAATAATAAAATAGTTATTTACCGCAAATATATAAAATAAGTCTTGATATTGATGTCGTAAGAATGTAACGTCATCATATATTATTCGTGAAATATAATACTCAAGGCCAAGTACTAAACAAAACAGCTTTTTTTCATCGTTAAATAACATATAACTCTTTTTTTAATAAATTTTAATCACTAATTAAATAAATTAATCCATTTGCTTATCTCACCCCTGAATAAATAAGTAAAAATAGTTTTTTCTTCATAATTTGAGAATACATTTTTATTTTAAATTTTAAATAAAATATAAATTACTTTATTCGTAGAACTACACATGTGAATGGATATTTTTATAAAAGATACGAATTAAAATATTTTAATAATTTTTAAAAATAATAATTTTTTTCATTTAAATAAAATTAAATAAATATCTAGTTAATGTGAGTTATTTGAGCTGATTAATGCTAAAAAAAAAAATTAACTAACTAAGCAATTTATGGTTTAGCACGTTTAACAAAGTATATGTTGAAGAAATAAAGTTTCTTCCTGACCCTTGAACTATTTTCCGGTCACTTTTTAATAGCCGATCAGTTTATCGTACAGTTGAGTCGTTATTTGTTTGTGCAACAGACAACTCCACTCAATACTGCTGTGATCTTTACATGTGAATTAAAATTTTTTTCTTCTTGCTCATTCTTTTAAATAACCAAAAAGGAAAAAGAAACAGTAAATTTTAAATACATTGCTATAGCTAATTATTTAAAATGAGGAGTTGAAATAAATTACGTCGGCGGTATGTTAAGAGGACTTTGCAACTCCATTATTGGTACAAGCAATTATTGTAAAGTTAATTTCCTTTATTTTATTTTATTTATTTTTTTTTTTTTATAATGTTAAAAATATAAATTATTTTATACTTTAGCTCAACTAGTTTGACAAGTTTGATTACTACAATAAAATAATAATTTTTTTTTAATAATTTTACTAAATAAAAACTATTAAAAAAATTGATCAATAAATAAATAAAAACTAATGATAATGGATCAAAACAATATAATCAACCTTTAGCCAGAAAATTTAATTCAAGGTTTTCTCGCATGTTGTCTCGTGATTGCAATCGCTGTTGTTTGGTCATTTCAATTCATCGTTCAGTTTTCATATGATGTCAAGCAAACTTTAGGTCTTACGTCTGTAACATTGCTGTTATTATATTTATCATCTTTCGTGTTTTTTAAGAATCGTAAAAAATATTCAAACAAACACATTGAATTAGGTGAGTAAACATAATTTGAGATAAATGAGATTAGCTTTTGGTATAATTCATATTCATAGTTGCTTTTTGTTATTTAACCGATATTAAAATAACAGTTAATATAATTAAACGTTAACTTTTCGTAACTAACACTGGTTGGAAATTTAATCTAATAAAGTTCAAATGTTACTTTGTAAAGAAGACGCTTTCATGGAATAAAAGATATAAGCTGCAAGAGAGAGTTTTAATAAATTTTATATAAAATTTTATACCGACTACGTTAATTTTGAAGGTAAAACCGACAACGAGAGTCAAGCGCTACATCTAGTATCTGTAACAGAACAAGAAAATTTTCAAAAGGAGTTTAATAAAATTAACAAGATGGCCGAAACACCCGTAAGTTTTGTCGTCGGCGGGTCTGATCAACTTGAAGAACTAGAATTAGAAACAGAGGATAGCTTTCCTATTGAAGGATTTGATGGTTATCAACAGCCACCGGCAATGCCAAGTATTAACGAACAACGTAGGCGGTTAAGGTGAAACCCTTCTTACTTTATCATTTTATTTTATAAATTTTTATTTTTTAAACTTTTTTATCATAAATTCAGTCAACTGTTGACTGAATCAGACGAAAATGCTGAAAATAAATTATATAAACGTATTCATTTGGTTGACCTGGAAGCGTCCCCCTACAAACTATAATGAATTTAAATATTCGAAGGACAAATTAAGATTAGGTTAAACTAAAATAGTCTATAAAGTAAATAGTTACATTTCCGTTAAGAAATTTAGAAATATAATTAAATTTTAATAAGTATTATTTTTTCTTAAAGTTATGTAAATAATAATAATTATCATGTTAATATTAATTACTTTTTCACACATATTTAGGTAAAGATCTCAATTTTTTGTTACTACTTTTGCTAAAATTAATAAAATATTTTTTTTGCCAAAGCGGTTAATGTGCAATAAATATCGATTCAAATTACTTGAATAGAATTTAAAATCAATTCATTAAGGACGTTCATGCGCTACGCTAGAGTCAAATGGGTGCTAACTTTTATGTAATATATTGGATTTTTGAAAAAAATTTTAGAGTATATCAATAATCTTCAAATGTTAAAAATCTAATTTTTAATTCTTAAGAATATTAATATCTTTTTGAAATAATTGATAAAGAATTTCCAATTTTTGAGGTAAGATCACTCCATGAATAAGCTTATGTTTACGTTCCCAAATTTTGGGTTATTTAATTTAAATTATTTATGTCCAAGTTTTGACCTCGTTACGATGTCAATAGACTCCAGGTGGGTCGTGTCAATGATTTATCCGCGAAGTCACTTTTGATAATTAAATTTATAGAATTATTTAATTTTTACTTTAATTTACCTGCCCTCAGGTAATTGATGGACAGGAAGCCTGAATGCTGGCTAGCATTCCAGGTAAAGGAACCAGGGTGGAACAGCTAATAAGCGCTCCCACCCTGGATAGAGGATTTAAGAAAATTCCATTTTAATTGATTGACAATTAAATATAAATTTATTGAAAGGAAATAGGCAGGTTCAGCCTCGGACCAGCAGAGATTGCTCCTCTGCTAAGTCCGAGGACTGACTGCTCCAGAAGAAGTCTGAAGACAGAATGTAATAAAAAATAATAATTACAAAGAGTTTTTATAATGAGATTTTAGCGACGTTGCATCTCAGGTTACCCTATGTGAACATCAACGCAGTCCAAATCTCGCAACGTAGACTGTTTAGTTTACTGGGCTGTGTTGACGTTCTAGAAATCTGTTATCTCGAGGTATTTCCGTTACGAGATACCTCGAGTAACGATTAATTAATTAAAATAATGATTTATAAATTTTTAAAATAAATTTATAAAATTTTAAATAAATTTAAAATTTACAAGAACGTAACACTTATCAAATTTAAAAAACCATTTATGTCAAGTATTCTTACGCGTGAACGTCCTTTATCAATGAGAATTAAATGCGTTCTGTTTTGATGTTATAACTCACTTTCCCATTCTAAACTTTTTTTTTTCGGCTAGAAATCTGACTATGTGCTTTACTGAACTACTTACGTCCGTCATTTGGTTCATCTTTAATTTTTTTTCCCTCCTTGCTTGACAAAGTTACAAGAGAAAAACTGTAAAAAAAATTCAAGTCGTACCATTTGAAATCTTCAGATCTCTGAAAAAATTAATTAAAAAATCGCGGAGAATCGGATACAAACCTGTCCCAGACTATGATTGTTGTAAATAAGATTACTTTTCCATGACAGTAATCGGCTTAGTAATGATCGCTATACATATTATTCATCAACAGGTATGATATGATTAATTATATTGTTTGAATCAATAGGCATGATTCATTAACCCCACTGGCAAATAAAATTAAAATTTATTGAAGTTAAAATTTTATTAAAATTATATTTATAAATAATTCTGACAATGTAAAATATTTATTCGTTAAATTACGATAACTGTACAGGTCACGTGCTGGAAGTTTACTTTACTATGAATATAATTAATAATAAAAATCAGCTGTTATGCCGGGGCAGTACTCCAAGAAACATAACTTTCTCATTCATGTGCAACGTTGTACATACTTATAAGAAGGGGGATTGCCTGTCACAGAAAAGTCTGACTGTATATTTAAAACAGTATTTTACGGTCTTTCCACCTGTTGATTTCTTTGATTATTTTTAGAATTTTTGTTAGTTATTTTAAACTAAATATAGTTGAATTGTTTGTTATTCTACTGTCAAAATATTTATCGTATGTGAAGTATATGTTTTTCAAATTCTATCAATTATTAAGACCAATCGTGAATTTTGTAAACAGGTGTAATTCGTATTTAGATGATATTGATAAATACAATAAACTATTGGTTTAAGAAGTCATATAATTATTCATCTTGAAATATGAGAAGAATAAAAAGATTTGTCTTAGCACAAAGTAATGCTACAGACATAACTTGGAAAAGTTCGGATAATTTTTATGCTGAATCTGGGAATTATAACGTCGAAAAACATAATCATCGCAGAGCTTCTGAAGACTGTGATGCATCAGTATTAATCTCAAATGAGAGTGTAAAATCAAAATCTTCGATGTCATCAACATCTCTCCAGTAATTTTTATAAGATATTATTTTTATTATACTTATTAAAATGATCGTATATGTTTATTACTATATTATAACTTAGAATTGTTTATTTTTTTCCTGGTTTTTAAAAATTTTTTTTTTCAACCAATATTATTTTATTTTTAATTTAAATCGATAATTGCACGTAGAACATCCTTCATCTCATGCAATCAAATGATAATCAATTACCTGTAAATGATAAAAAATAATTTATTTATCAGAAGTTACATTGAAATTCAATGCAATAAAAATAATTTCCTTCTTTGCTAATTATGACTCATTATTACCAGGAATAATCAACAAACCCATAGAAGTTTTGCTGATGAATATAAATTATTAAATATGTTCCATTAATAGTTTAATATTTTAGATAATATTAGAGATTTTTAATATTTTTTTACATGTTCAAAGTTATTGTGTATAATTTTTTGAATTTAGTACTATTTTTTACTGTAGAAAAAAAATATTTGAAATGTTTATCATTTCGAAACCAATAAATCAGAAATAATTTAATTATTAAGCCCATAGTCAAGAGTAAAGAAAGTATTAAATGAAATAAATTAGTTTAATTGAGTCTGTTACTTTCTCTATTACGCTGTTCCAATAGTTATATTGTATTTAAAATAAGTACTGAATGCATTTTAAAATTGATTTATGTAATGAATATAAATAAACATTTGGAACTAAATCATTAATAATTGATCATAATAATTATTTGATTAAATTATTTTACAGGCCCAGCATGTCGCAGGGTACGGTGATGATTATGACCCAAAATCGTTTACAAGAAAAAGATTTCACGGTTGCTACACCTGAAGAATTCGTTCACCGTTTTGGTGGTACGAAAGTAATAAATAAAGTAAGTAATTTTTTCAAAATAAAAATATGAATTTATTATCATTTGTAATTTAGATTGCATTTAAAGTCACTTGTAGTTTTTTTTTTTTTTTTTCTGAACTATCATTAAACACTCAAGCTCAGCATATCACACCTGAAATTTTATACTTAATTACTAATGATAAAAACATCTCAATAAAAACTTAGCGTTAAATTATTTGTTTTTTATCGTAAATGTTTATTTGTTATTTCACTGTCAATGTAATATTTTCGAACTTTGTACTTTGTCTACATCAATATTACTTTATGATGTAAGTCAATGCTTAATTAAAAAAGTAAATGAACAATAATTTAAATAATGTATATTTAAAATTATTTACACAGGTTCTGATAGCAAATAATGGAATTGCCGCAGTAAAATGTATGCGTTCAATAAGAAGATGGTCATACGAAATGTTTAAAAATGAGCGAGCGATAAGATTTGTAGTAATGGTAACACCTGAAGATCTCAAGGCTAACGCAGAATACATTAAGATGGCAGATCAATATGTGCCTGTACCTGGAGGAACTAATAACAACAATTATGCTAATGTCGAATTAATTGTTGACATTGCAATTCGTACTCAAGTTCAAGCTGTTTGGGCAGGATGGGGTCACGCTTCTGAAAACCCTAAGCTACCAGAATTATTGCATAAAAAAGATATTTCATTCATTGGGCCATCAGAACGTGCTATGTGGGCTTTAGGAGACAAAATAGCATCTAGTATCGTTGCCCAAACTGCTGATGTTCCAACATTACCATGGTCTGGATCAGGATTAAAAGCTCAGTACAGTGGAAAAAAAATAAAAATATCATCGGAGCTATTTAAAAAAGGTTGTGTGTCAACAATAGAAGAATGTTTAGCAGCTGCTAATAAAATTGGATTTCCTGTTATGGTAAAAGCTAGTGAAGGAGGAGGTGGTAAAGGTATTCGTAAAGTTGAAAATGCTGAAGAATTACCAACACTCTTTCGTCAAGTTCAAACCGAAGTTCCTGGATCGCCAATATTCATAATGAAACTTGCTAAATGTGCACGTCACTTGGAAGTTCAATTACTTGCGGATATTTATGGCAATGCAATATCTTTATTCGGCCGTGACTGTTCTATTCAAAGAAGACATCAAAAAATCATAGAAGAAGCACCTGCAGTTATTGCAAAGCCAGAAATATTTGAAGAAATGGAAAAAGCTGCAGTAAGACTTGCCAAAATGGTAGGATACGTCAGTGCAGGAACAGTAGAATATCTCTATGATACGTCAGGATCCTATTACTTTTTAGAATTAAACCCCAGATTGCAAGTTGAGCATCCATGTACAGAAATGGTATCAGATGTTAATTTGCCAGCTGCCCAGCTACAAATAGCAATGGGCTTGCATCTTCATCATATTAAAGACATACGATTGTTGTACGGTGAAAGCCCATGGGGTGATAGCGCAATAGATTTTGATCAGCCACGGCATAAACCTCAACCTTGGGGTCATGTAATCGCCGCGCGAATCACCAGTGAAAATCCAGATGAAGGATTTAAACCAAGTTCTGGTACAGTTCAAGAGCTTAACTTTAGATCATCGAAAAACGTCTGGGGATATTTTTCTGTTGGTGTATCTGGTGGTCTTCATGAGTTTGCTGATTCTCAATTTGGTCACTGTTTTTCATGGGGTGAAGATCGTAATCAAGCACGTGAAAACCTTGTTATTGCATTAAAAGAATTGAGTATTCGAGGTGATTTTCGTACGACAGTTGAATACTTGATTACATTATTAGAAACTGAATGTTTCCTAACTAATAATATTGACACCGCATGGTTAGATGCTTTGATTGCAGAACGTGTTAGAAGTGACAAACCAGATGTTTTACTTGCTGTAACTTGCGGTGCTCTTCATATTGCTGATCGTACTATTACGGCAGCTTTTTCTGGATTCCAAACAAGTTTAGAACGTGGTCAAATCCAAGCTGGCAATGATTTAAACAATATTATTGATGTGGAATTGATAAATGATGGTATTAAATATAAAATTCAAACAGCCAAAAGCGGCCCAAACAGTTATTTCCTTGTAATGAATAATTCTCACAAAGACGTTGAGGTTCATCGTCTATCAGACGGTGGTATATTACTTTCATTTGATGGTGCAAGTTTTACAACATATATGCGCGAAGAAGTTGATCGTTATCGAATTGTTATTGGAAATCAAACATGCGTTTTTGAAAAAGATAACGACCCTTCTCTGTTGAGATCACCATCTGCGGGTAAGCTAATTAGTTTTCTTGTTGAAGATGGAGGTCATGTCGAGCCAGGACAAGCCTATGCTGAAATTGAAGTTATGAAAATGGTAATGACAGTAACAGCTGGTGAAGCAGGTAGTGTTTTTTATGTAAAAAGACCAGGTGCAGTTTTAGAAGCAGGAGTATTAATTGCTCATTTAGAATTAGATGATCCATCTTTAGTAACAAAAGCTCAAGATTATACAGGTCAATTCCCTGCGCCAATTATTCCTGCTATTCCAGAAAAATTGAATCTTCTTCATTGTAAATACCGTGCTTCATTGGAAAATACATTAGCAGGATATTGTTTGCCTGATCCTTATCATTTGCCAAGACAACGTGAATTGATTGAAAAATTTATGAACTCATTGCGAGATCCCAGTTTACCACTTCTTGAGCTTCAAGAAGTAATATCAACAATTTCTGGAAGAATTCCAATATCAGTTGAGAAAAAAATTCGTAAATTAATGACATTATATGAGCGGAATATCACTTCTGTTTTAGCCCAATTTCCCAGTCAACAAATTGCTGCTGTAATCGATAGTCATGCTGCAACTTTGTCTAAAAGATCTGATAGGGATGTATTTTTCCTTACAACTCAAGCAATCGTACAGCTAGTTCAACGTTACCGAAATGGAATAAGAGGACGTATGAAAACTGCCATGCATGAATTATTACGACAATATTATACAGTAGAGAGTCAATTTCAACAGGGTCACTACGATAAGTGTGTATCTGCACTTATTCAACAATATAAAGACAATATGTCTATGGTAACTAACACTATATTTAGTCATAATCAGGTATCAAAGAAAAATGTTCTTGTAACAATGTTGATTGATCATTTATGGGCAAATGAACCAGGGCTTACTGATGAATTAGCTAGTACGTTGACTGAACTTACAAGTTTAAATCGCGCTGAACATTGTAGAGTTGCTTTACGAGCACGTCAAGTACTTATTGCAGCGCATCAACCGGCCTATGAATTAAGACACAATCAAATGGAATCAATTTTCCTGTCAGCAGTTGATATGTATGGTCATGATTTCCATCCAGAAAATCTTCAAAAACTAATTTTATCAGAAACGTCAATCTTTGATATACTCCATGACTTCTTTTATCATACCAATCGAGCTGTTTGTAATGCAGCTTTAGAAGTTTACGTACGAAGAGCTTACATTAGTTACGAATTTACTTGTTTACAACACCTTGAGTTATCTGGTGAAATTCCATTGGTGTATTTCCAATTTTTATTACCAAGTAATCATCCTAATCGTCAAAATCAGTTATTAATTAATCATCGAACTGGCGCAGTTGCAGCATTCCAAGATTTGGATCATTTTAGCCAATATGCTGATGAAGTTTTGGATCTTTTACAAGATCTTTCATCGCCAAATTCTGTTTCTGCAAAAGTTTTAGAAGCCGTTGATGCAGCTGGTAGTGAATCACGTCATAGTACATCGATTAATGTATCATTTAGTACAACTGAAGCCGGTGGACCTGTAGAAATTGGTGAAAAATCTGCTGAGCCAGTTCATATTTTAAGCATTACCGTACAAGACAATGGTAATCAAGATGATGCAGCTATGGCAAGACTTTTTGGTGATTGGTGTGCTTCAAATAAAGAAGAACTTGTATCACGTGGCATTAGACGGGTGACTTTTGCAGCTCTTCAAAAACGCCAATTTCCAAAATTTTTCACTTACCGTAATAGAGATGGATTTGTTGAAGACCGAATTTATCGTCATTTAGAGCCCGGTTGTGCTTTTCAATTGGAACTTAATCGAATGAGAACCTATGAATTAGAAGCTTTACCAACATCTAATCAAAAAATGCATTTATATCTTGGTAAAGCTAAAGTTGCTAAAGGCCAACAAGTAACAGATTATCGTTTCTTTATACGTTCGATAATACGTCACTCAGATTTGATAACAAAAGAAGCAAGTTTCGATTACCTTCACAACGAGGGTGAACGTGTCCTTCTCGAAGCAATGGATGAACTTGAAGTTGCTTTCTCTCATCCTCTAGCTAAGCGCACAGATTGTAATCATATATTTTTAAACTTTGTACCTACTGTAATAATGGATCCGGCAAGAATTGAAGAGAGTGTTACAAGTATGGTGTTACGTTACGGTCCAAGATTGTGGAAATTACGAGTACGTCAGGCAGAAATAAAGATGACTATTCGTCCAGCACCCGGAAAACCAACATCAACTGTACGTTTATGTATTTCTAATGACAGTGGTTACAGTATTGATCTGCATTTATATACAGAAACTACCGAAGCCAAAACCGGAATTATTCGATTAGAATCATACAGTCCAATAAATTCTAACAGAAGACCTGGGCCTATGCACGGAATGCCAGTTTCTACACCTTATTTAACAAAAGATTATCTTCAGGCAAAAAGATTTCAGGCTCAAAGTTCCGGAACAACTTATGTTTATGATCTCCCTGATATGTTCCGTCAAGAACTAGAAAAGGCTTGGGCTAAATACATTGAAGAACGTCCAAATATAGAAAATTTATCGATCCCTAGTCCTGTAATAGATTGCATAGAGCTCGTATTAGATGGTGAAAATCTTGTTGAACAAAAACGATTGCCCGGAGAAAATGACGTTGGAATGGTTGCTTGGAAGTTGACTCTTTTTACTCCAGAATTTCCATTGGGTCGTGAAATTATTCTTATTGCCAATGATTTAACACATTTAATAGGTTCATTTGGACCCAAAGAAGATCTTGTATTTTATCGGGCATCTGAACGAGCAAGACAACTTGGAATACCCCGAGTATACTTTTCTGCAAATTCTGGAGCTCGTATTGGGCTTGCTGAAGAAGTTAAAGCATTGTTTAAAATTGCTTGGGAGGATGATGCAGTACCTGAAAAAGGTTTCAAGTATATCTACTTGACTCCCGATGATTATGCTCGCTTATCACCTCTTAATTCGGTTAAAGCATCGCTTATAGAAGATGGTGGTGAAGCACGTTATAAAATCACCGATATTATTGGTAAAGATGATGGTCTTGGAGTAGAAAATCTTAAGTATGCTGGTTTAATTGCTGGTGAAACGTCTCGGGCTTATGATGAAATAGTAACCATTTCAATTGCTAGTTGTCGTGCAATTGGAATTGGATCTTACTTAGTACGACTTGGTCAACGTGTTATACAAATTGAAAATTCTCATATTATTCTTACTGGTTATCGTGCACTTAATGCTGTTCTTGGACGAGAAGTTTACGCCAGTAATAATCAATTGGGTGGAATACAAATAATGTATCACAATGGTATATCTCATGTAACAGAACCGAGAGATCTCGATGGTATTGCTACTGTTCTGAAGTGGATAAGTTTTGTACCAAAAAATAAAGGAGGGGCTCTGCCAATTATTACACCAGCTGATCCAGTTGATAGGGAAATTGGATATGTTCCAACAAGAACACCGTATGATCCAAGGTGGATGCTTGATGGTAGAAAAAGTACAGTAGATCCTACCATGTGGGAATCTGGATTCTTTGATTTTGGTTCTTGGGCCGAAATAATGAGACCATGGGCTCAAACCGTTGTTACTGGTCGTGCTAGATTAGGTGGTATTCCTTGTGGAATTGTTGCTGTCGAAACTAGAACAATGGAAATTCACTTACCTGCTGATCCCGCTAACCTTGATTCTGAAGCAAAAACAGTATCACAAGCGGGTCAAGTTTGGTACCCTGACAGTGCATTCAAAACTGCACAAGCAATCAAAGATTTTAATAGAGAAGAATTACCACTATTTATTTTTGCTAATTGGCGAGGATTTTCCGGTGGTATGAAAGGTAAGTTATAACTCAAAATAAATCACACAATAAATAAAATTTTTAATAATAATTTGATTTTTTTTTTAAAGATATGTATGAACAAATTATGAAGTTCGGAGCATACATTGTTGATGGTTTAAAAGAGTACAAAAAACCAGTATTTATCTATATACCACCAAACGGAGAACTAAGAGGAGGTGCATGGGCTGTAGTAGATCCTACGATAAATCCACGTTTCATGGAAATGTTCGCAGACAATACTAGCAGAGGAGGAGTTCTAGAACCTGAAGGCATTGTTGAAATTAAATTTAAAACAAAAGATATTCTAAAAACTATTCATCGACTTGATCCTGTTGTTCATAATTTAAAGGTAAATTTTTTATTGTCAATAATTACTTATCTTATAATATTGATTAAAAAATATTTATTTTTTTTTTTTTTTTTTTTTCTGTTTAGGAAAAATTATCACACCCATTAACAGCGGAGGAGCGAGCAAAAGTAGAAATAGAAATTCATTCTCGAGAACAAATCCTTGAGCCGATGTATCGTCAGGCAGCAGTACATTTTTCAGATCTTCACGATACACCAGAACGTATGTTAGAGAAGAATGCAATAAATGATATAATACCATGGCGTAAGGCACGCACTTTACTTTATTGGCGTCTACGTCGTCGTTTATTGGAAGAAGAATTCAGAAGCGATATTTTATCTACACAACCAAGTCTTGATGTACGGCAAGTTGATGCAATGTTAAGACGTTGGTTTGTTGAAGATAAAGGTACAACTGAATCTTATCTTTTGGACCAAGATGAAAGCGTAGTTGAATGGTTACAAAGTCAACGAGATGACGAGGATAGTGTAGTAATGCATAATATAAATTGTGTAAAACGAGGTGCAGTAGTTACCCACATTAAAGATTCTCTTGAAAAGTGTCCTGATGTACGTCTGGAAGCTGTACTTGAAATTGCTCACCGACTTACTTCTGCCGAACGAGCTGAACTTCAACGCACTCTTGCACAATTGGAAGCATCCACAGTTCAAGAGCACCATAATGACTCGAGTGCCTCATCGTAACTATTGTTACGATAATTATCATGCACACACGAGTACCTGTCTATTAATAAATTGAAGAATTTACTTGACAAATTAAATTTTTATTGCTTTCTTTCTATTAATCTAGTAAAATTGTTATCATATATTCTCGTAACAAATTAGCCATTTACTTTACAATATTTAATATCATCATGTATTTGTAATTATATTTTTCCTATTTTTACTTGTTGTAAATTTGTGTGAACGTATTGTAAATTACTAAGTCAAGTTTTAAACTGTGAAAATGTTGAACAAATTTAATTATATCAAGTGTAAATGCTTATATACATCATGTTTATAGCTGATACTAAAAATGTTTATTTTTAGATACAAAAATGGTGTTTCAATATAATTTGTTGATGTTATTGAGTGCTCATTTATAAAAACAAAAAAAAGATATATATATAACTGTATAAAATTTTATTTTAGACTTTAATTATACACTGCCATAAGGAACATTGAAATATCACAATAATTAATTATTATTATTATTATTATTATTATTATTATTATTATAGAAACTTATTAATTATTTTTTCACTATAAATTACAGTTTAACGAGCCTTTATAGATCAAAAAATAGGTATTTGGCTTCTATGGGTATCTTCTAAATCATCATCAAGTGTCAGTAACACCATAAATGAAAAGAACATTGCAAGAGCAGAAAGAAAATGCCATATGTCATGAAAATCAAAGAAATTTAATAGTTTACACGGCATATTATAACGTCGTGATTGTGCGGGTAATAATGACCAAGAGACTGATTTGTTAATGAAAAAATATAGAGCAAATCCCCATGTAATAAATGACAAAATAATGTAACATAGTGGTTGAAGTAGAATTCTTTCTCGATAACACAGCTGGAATAAAAATAAATTAATAATATTTCATTTACTTTTTTTTTTACAACCTTTTTATACTTTTAAAATTAAATACTTACTTTCATAACAATGTAAAAAAATGTGTATAGTAGTAAATTAAGCATGAGTACGGCTAATAAAAAAGTCGCAAAATCTTTTTCATGATGCATATTACCCAGAACAGCTATTGCAACATTACATAAATTTGCAATTACAAGTAATAACAGTCGTCCGCCATACATAGGACGCAAAAGATGAATCACACCAGCTCGAGCATCGTGTCTAAAAGTCTAACAGAACAATAATGGTACAAGTCAATTATTATAATTATAATATAAATAATGATTTAATGATAAATGATATGCAAAAACGAAAGCAATAAAAATTATGTTTACCATTATCACTCGTCGAACTAAACCTTTATCCAATCTCCATCTACCCATATAATAAATTTGGGCAGTCAATGAAAGACATACGATTAAATGTAAAAGAGTAAAAACAATCCAGAAATAATCCGTGTCGTTTAAAACCCCAACAGTTCCCAAAAAAATCATCAGAGCAAGTACTGCAAAAGTTACTGTAGCACGAGCATTTATATCAGGATGACGAGTTTGATAAATTTTTACCATACATAGTACAGAAATGATATACATAAAACTTGTATCTACAATAAAAATAATTTCATTAATTGAAATAATTAAAGTTTAAAATTGTCTTAAATATATTTAAATTTTAGCTTTAAATAAATTTTATAAATCTACGGTTTGAAATCTATTCAAGTATCATTTCTTTAACAATAATTATATACTTACCAAATTGAAAATTACTGTGATTTGGGCAAACGTGATAACAAGCTGATAGTAATCCTTCCATCATCAGAGCTGTACCCATGGCATAAAATAATCCATAGTGTTGAGGAATACCATAACTTTTTTTCTTTTCTTCATACTCGCGATCGTTCTGCTCTCTTACATATGTCAAAATAATAAACAATAAACCCAATAAGATATATGCAAAATTTGAAAAAACATGATTAAAATCGGAAAACCAAAAAAATGGATGTGAACATAAGAAGTTATAGTAACAAAGATCTTGATTGCCCGTCACATGCAAAACATTTTGATAAGTCGCAACCAACTGTACGACAGGTAATGCATAAAATACTGCTATTGTACCCAAATAGTACAAATAAAGTCGTGATTTATGTCGAAGAATTTTAGGATCTTTTCGAGCTAAATCAGAAACAGCTAACACTTTTCTTGTGCGAATTATTTCTTTGTCTGAAAAAGCATCATCTAACATATCTATATCATCTTCATCTAACGACGAATCGTCGTTAAGAGTATCATCATAACGCGGACCAGCCTGTAAATAATTTTTATTAATTTAATGAATTTTTTTTCTTAACTGTAATAAAATTAAAAATTACTTCTTCTATTTCTGGAGTAAGAAGTTCTTCTGGTCGTGAGGGAGTTTCTAACTCATCCGTCAGCTGTTGACGTAATCTCCGACGAAGACGAACATTGTGCGTTATAACGCCAATTATATAAAAACTGAAAAAAGCGATACCAATAATAAAAGCAATCAATGCTGATTTTATACCTTCTCTTTTCGTTATGTTAGGTGTTATTGATAATTTTACTATTTTAGATCGCAACACGGACCCTGTTTGATCAGTACAGTCTGTATCATCTCCTTTTAAAACAAGCACCACAAAAAATCCACTCGGGTAAATTTCTTTCTAATGAAAATAAACATTTTTCTGTGAATTATAGAAAATTATTATTCATAAAATAATGAATTATTTATTTATACTTACAGGGATTGTTATACCTCCTAATTGGGATACAGTTTGCCAGTATCGAGAAAATTGAATATTTCTTTCTAAATCAAAAACTGGACACTAAAAAATTTTAAATAGAATCACATATTGATAATTTATTATTGAATTAATCATAAAAAAAAAAATAAGATTATATATAAAATTAAAATTCTTACCGTTGTATTTTGTATCGCAACAGTCATACATGTATCAGAATCTGATTCTATTTTCATTAAAACAGATCCACTTTCCACTTGATTAGAGAAACTATATCCATAATATCGGGGTTCAGATGGAGAAATGGTAATTTCTCGAGTCTCCCCCAATCTAAAAACATATCAACAAGTAAATTAAACAATTTTGATTAAAGTACAATTTTTTTTATATTTACCCTAGATAAAAGTCATTTTCCAGAACAACAGTGAGATTAAAAAACACTGGTAATTCACTACTAGTAAAAATACTGACTATGACATTACTGTTATCCAATTTAATTTGGTTTAGTTGTTTATAATATTTTAATGAACACAATGTTCGACTAGTTTTATTGTACCATTGTGTATTAGTATTTTTACTCTCAATAAATAGTGGTATTTGCCACGATAATATGCCTTTTTTTTGTTTCACAACAACTAGCAATGGTTTTTCAGAAGTTGCATTACTTTGAACATTTATCCTTGCTGTACTATTGTTCTTTAAAAACAAAAAAAAAAAATTTTGTTATTATTAACATTACAAATCACACTGTATTTAAATACTACAACTGATTAGGTATTGAACTTACATCAATTTCAGGATAAAGGAAAACATATTCGATTGATGAATTTACTGTTTTTACATACGATTGAACATATTCGGCTGGAATAACTTCAGGATTAAGCGTTAACGATAAGTTTTTTGATGTGATATCAACTGCTCCTACCAGCAGTGACCAGGTAGTTAATATCAAGAAAACATACATTCTGGTAATTTTTTTTCCTAAATTAAATGAAAAAATTAGAATTATAAGGATGATGTAAATGACAAAAAAAAAAAACTGCATTAATTATTATATATTATTTTATAACTGTTAAAACTATAAGAATAGATTTATAATTACCATTCAAAACTCGATAATAATTTAATGAATGAACATATCAAAATTATATGTTTTAAATTAAATAAAAAATAATTAACAGTTTACAAATATTATATGGATATCGATAAAAAAAAATGAAATTAGCGTCCATTCTTGGACACTCTATTAAATATTTTTACGCTAAACAGCGTATATATTAAAAGTTAACTACACAATTTGTAATAATACCACTGTTGAATGAATAACAAAAGATATTTATTTATTTATTAACCTATACCAATGACGTTCAAGTTATAGTTATTATTATATATATCAACTTGATAAAGTAAACATATGAGACCATATTCTCGGTGAGCTGCTACTACGGTAATCAAGTTTCGAACTGATCAAAAAAATATGCCTCACTTATTTCTTTTATTCAAAACGTAAAACTTACTTAATACATTTTTATAAAAATATAACTATTACCATAAGTATAAATAAGACAGATATTAATGAAGATTGGGATTCCGTTTTTATATAAGCTTGAAAAAAATACCTTTTTTTTTTTTTTTATTTTTTATTTAACTCACTTTTGTACATTTGCTCAAAGCAGAAAAAACTGAAAATGGTTTTTTAACATTTTATTATGAGATTTTTCAATACATAAAAATCAGCTTTTAAACGTTTGCTAATTATTAATGAAAATCTTTTTTTATTTCATAATGTTAGTATAAAAGAAATGCTTGATAAAAATAAGAAATGGTATAAATCAACTGAAATATTGCTGGATTTATTAATATTAATAATTTTTTATTTTATTTAAAGTGTTAGAATTTCTGTTGCGCGAGATTCAAGTAAATTTTCCATTGTATTAACGTCTTTACACCAACGATCAAGTTGTTGAACCATACTGCCAATTTGAGTACGATCGAGTACTCGTGGTTGAACCCAAGTCATGTTGACAGTGCCAGCTACTTGATCAATAGCACCTCGAACAAGACCTTGAGCAAGAGCTTTCATAACTAATAATTCAACTTCATTAACTGGTAATCGAGTCTCTTGTGAAATTTCAGCAAATGTAAGTTGGCTGTAAATTAGAAAAAAAAAAAAAAAAAAAAAAAAAAAAAAAGTATATACATAAATTTTTGTTATAATAAGTTTGCAATAATAAATGTTTAAAATTATAATTACCGATTATTTGCCTGTCTTTTGAACGTCATTTCCATAAGACAAAGAAGTGATATCTTTTGTCTTAATTTTAATTCTTGAGCTGCTAAATCAGCCACTTTAGCCCATTGTGTTTTCAATTTTTCCAATGCCGCAATATCACCGGCATTAAATGCTTGAAGAAGATCAATAAGCCAAGAATTTGGTGTACCTTTTAATGACAATAAGACTGGATGAGCTAATAATTCACCGATATTGTAAACTCCATCTCCTAGAAGAGCTGCTAAACCTAAGAAAAACGCATGCTGCTCTTGTTCTTGTTTGGTCAATGTATTCAAATCAATGCATCCTAGATATCTGAATGATAAAAAATATTTTCATTTTAGAAACTTTATTGTGCATTAATACTTTTTATTTATTTTTTATAAATATTGAGATTACCTTAATGCTGTACGATAATACTCAGCATGCTTTCCTTGCAATCGGTATAATCTACTAGCTAAAAGATAAAATCTTCCATGGACTGTAGTTACACCGTCAGCATTATCAAGCATAATTTCAACGTCATCAATTATTTTTTTAGTTTTTTCTTCATCATGAAGTTGATCCAAAAGAATTTGCCCTTGTAATACTTTACATAATGCAACAGCTTCATTGTTATTAACGATTTTAGGCTCAGTTTTTTCTAAAAATTCAACTGCTTCTTCTTTATTGCTAAATTGCTCAATAACATGGGCCAATATTTCAACAAAAGATAAAGCATTGATTCTAAAAAATAAATTCAAATGATTAATATAATAATTTTAATAAATTATATTAGTATATATATATAAAAATCAAGTGTTTTATTATAAACTCACTTATTTTCGAAGGTTGACAAGAAATTTTTGTACAATTGAACAAGACTATCACCTTTTTGTAATGCTGGATGCTTTACAAAAGTCTCCAATTTTAATGTAAGTTGATGCCAAAGTCTGCAAGTCACCAAAGTAAAATTATTTGCTTATTATTTATCACTAATAATATTGTACTCATATTTGAAATGATTTAATTACTTACTTTTTGTTATAAAGTTCTTCTAATTGAGCCCAATCAGCGGCTAATTCTTTGTCAGTAACATTTTGTCTTTGACTAAGAAACGTATTTACATCTTTTGATCCTGAAGCGACTGCCATGTTTATTAACTTACTGTAACCTGACTTATTTAACTAACGATGACCGGCATAATTGTCGAAAATAAAACTTGACATACCACATTATGCGTTAAGTTATACTCTATAATAACATCGTAGCGTCATCTATTAAATTCCACATATGGCTTCTTTCCTACACTCGACAAGGAAGAAATTAAATCTTTCAAATATATATTTTGCAGATTATAATTGATTATTTAGGTTGGTGTTATTGGGATTTAAATGATCAAATAATGTATTATTGAGTTTGTACGTGTCATTGAAATTTTAATTATTTGGGGTATGTACAACCGGCGGAATTTGGATAATTGATACGCATGTGTATCTTGGATATCCATAAAAAATAAAAAGACGCCCACCCGATCTCAATGTCCTTTATTTGTTTACTGACTAGATGGCAGCACTTTTTGTTCTGTTTTTCATGTAATATGTGTTCTTAGAATTAGTTTTAATCTACATATTACGTGGGTTATCTATTCAAACTAAAATAATAAAAAAAAAATTTGCTATCAAGATCAATAACAAACAATTTACAGTCAGATCTCGTTGTAAGACTACTTGCATACATGTAAAATACTTGATAATTTACCGGTTAAAAGGAGGTCCTTTCGCCGCCAATGTAAAATAAAAAATATTAGATTATAAGTAAATTCAATTTTTTTTCTAATAGTTAAGGTCCTTATTTATCTAATAGTGAGGTTTAAATTATACTTTACCGGACAAATTTTTAAACCTCACTATTAGATAAATAAGGACTTCAACTATTAGAAAAAAATTTAATTTATATACTATTTGTTATTTAATTTTAGGAATTTTTATGGGTTTTTTATTTTAATTTATCGTATATTGACTACTACAATTGTTTTGACTCAACTGGAGCGAAAGAGGATTTCCTTTTAAGTTTTCTGTAAAACGAGTTTTACGGTCAAGTATATTTTGGCGATATATTTTTACTTCTAAGACTTTAAAAAATTTATAAAATCTCTAATTAGCGTAAATAATTTCATTATGAAATAAACTCCCTGTAATAAAGCTCTATTTAATTTAAATCGTAGGGTCAACTTGAGGTAAAGAAAAAAATTAAATTAAGGAACGAGCGAATGAAGAGATGAGCTTAAAATTCTTTCTATATTAAAAACATCAACTATGAAATTCTTCTGGTAATTTAAATTTTTTCGTCCACTCTCTAGGCATTTTTAATAAATTCTAATCATATGAAAAATTACTATGTCTCTGATGGTTATTTTATTTTATAAATGTAAATAGTTTTTCTTTTAATTTAAAAAAAAAAAAAACTTTAGAAATTTATAATTGGTTGTTATTAAAAGTAGATAATAAGGCTACTATTTGTTTAATAAAAAAGTTATTTTTTTCCGTATATATTTATAATGTTATGCTATATATATAGCGTAACAAATCAGAACAAGCTAGCTACCAGCACTACTACATTCAAGTGTGAAATGTAAATACAGCAACTTACATATCATTAACACTCTTTTTTAGTTAATTTTTTCTTTATTTTATTTGCTTATTTATCATTAAGCAATTGATTTATGCCTATATTAATACTTGATAGTGCTTTTTTTTACTTGCACTGTATGAGACCAATAGTTGTATCCTTGTTTCACTTGTATGATAAATGGAAACTTTGTGCAATAATTGCTTATACATAGATAAAAATTAAAAAAAAAAAAATCTTAATTTTACCGTGAGATTATTGATCAATTCCGAGAATTTATTTATGAAAGAAGCTGAGTATAAAAAATATTTAAAAATGCAGAAAAAAATAAAGAAAAAAAAAACAGACAAATAAGCGCCCTCGTACGTTTAATAACAGAATCTCAAGAAATGTCGTCAAACATGTGTAGTTTAATAATCTTACCACAAGAAAAAGTAAATAAAATACTGATTAGCTGACTAATTAATGTGAATGTCAGCTTTTTAATTGCATGATGATTGTGTTTATAACAATTTCTGATCACGCCAGAATCCAAAGGTAAGAATTAAATATCCATTTCTACCGTCATATCTGTTATCACAAATTCGCTACATTACTGACATATGTCGTTTATCTTTGACGTTTCAATTTATAATCGATTGATAAATATTATTTATCAAAAAATCAAAAAGTAAATGATATTGATTATGTTATATTCATTATTTGTAAAAAAAAAAACAATTATTTTAAAGTAGCAGTTATTTTTTGATAACAGTGTCATATATCTTTAGTGAGATATTATTTTTATGAAACTATTTAAATATTTAGTTATCTAATAAGTAATTTTTTTTTTTATTGCAGATGAATTTTTACTTATTGGGAGGTATTGGAGGCTGTGCTATTTTGCTAGTTGCAGTACTTGGCTTAGGATTAATTTTAAAAATTTTCATATGCATATTTGCATTGATTTTAGGGTAAGATAAATTACTTTTATTATTCAAAGATAGCACGTACCTAAATGTAATTTATTTTATATTATTTTTTAGGATATTGACTTGTATATATAAAAAGTATGTACCGAATCTTGGAAATGAAATTAAGTATAGTAGAGAAAACTTGTATAATAAGACTGAAAAAATACAGAGGGTAAATATTTTATTAAATTTTATTGAATGGAAGTAGTTGAGCAATTGAAAAAAATTTTTATTCAAAAGTTACTTTCACTTTGACTAAAACTTTAATAAATATTTTTTATGTTATAGCATATTCGTGAACTTTCAAAATCTAAGGTAGCATTTACTTTGGATAAAAGAGTAACAGGTAGTCATATAATTGATGAATCGTTACAAGTAAGTATATAAAAACGTTTTTATTTTTATCGAAATACAATTCTGTTGTTCATTTTTATTACGATTAATAATTTTTTTTTGTATTTTGAAATAGGAAATTTTAGATTTTATCATAAGAGATTATGTCGAGCCATGGTATAGTGTACTGACAAATGATGAAGAGTTCATAAAATCTGTTAGAGACACAGCGCAAAAAGTTGCGATAAATATCGCTAACAGGTGATTATGATTAGTAATGATATTTATCATTTTGATTGAATAAATAAGGTGTTTTTTTTTTTTTTTTTTTTATTAAATTTGATTGATTTTTAAACAAAATTTAGAGTAAAAGAAGTTGATTGGATTCCCTACTTGACAACACGCCTAGTTGACGATGCAGCATCTCACATGCGACTTTACCGTCAAGCACGTGCTAAAATGAAAAATGTCAAGAATATCAAAGGCAGTAGTAATTCAAGTACATCGAGTAGTACACCGAAAAAATCGCCAACTCATCGAAGAAATAAAAGTGAGACTGACATATCGTGGTATTCTCAGTCGAAATTTTACATTCCTAATTTATCGTCATTAACTGAACCTATTGATTCAAGTTCAGTAGAAGAAAATGATGAAGAAATACTTGAAAAAGTATTTTTTGATCTCGAAGTACAGATGGAAAATAATTTAATATGTCGAGATTTAGTGTGTACAAATGATGAACAAGAACTTGCCTTTCTAGGTGAAATATCGGAAATTTTATTATATTTATTGTTGCCAAAATCTGATTTCGATTGTTTAACTGTGAGATTCATGTTACGCGAACTTTTGGTTAATATGATTATTAGACCACTGTTGAATTTATTTTCAGACCCTGATTATATAAATCAAGCATGTATATGGTTATGTACAAAAGATTTAAACTTACCTAGTGATGTATTTTTAACAATAATAAGAATTACCGACAGCCTAGAAGAATTATTAGCAACAAAAGATATTGTTTGCTCTGAAATAGCACATTTACGTTCTAAAGATTCTGGTGGTGATGATGATTTAATAGTTAAACAGCAATTGAATAGTTTACTTTATGTAAAAAAAATATTAGAAACAAGAATTATTAGTATGCACGAGGGATTGGATTCTGAAACTGATGGAATTGCTTTAAACCCAAATTGGAATCGGTTACTCGTTCCAGGACATAAACTAGTTAATTTACCACTAGATGAATTACTTAAAAATAATATCGCTTTGAGTTATTTCATTGATTACATGACAAGTATTAACAATGAAGCTTATCTGTATTTTTATTTAAATATATATGGTTGGAAAGTATCTGCTGAACAACAAATATCGGACATTGAATTACAAAAAATTAAGAGTTATCAAACGTCGGGAAATTCTACTTCTCGCCGCAAAAACATTAACTTGGAAAATTTAAAAGAAGCTGCATCCAAAATATATCAACAATATTTAAGTGATAAAGCATCAGTGAGGTTATTACTTGATGATACCTTAGTTAAAAATTTACTAACACGAATTAAAACAGAAACTGTTAAAGAAACTTGGTTTGACGAATTGCAAGCGTGTTGTTATGAAAAATTACAAAATGAAGATAAATTTTTACCATCATTTAAACGTTCAATGTCGTATGTTAAGCTTTTAGCTGAATTAGATTTACTGAAAGAGGTAGCATCTGAAGACGATGGTAAATCATTTGATGAAATAAGTGTTTCAAGCATCAATTACGAATCCGATCCTCTTCAAGATACATCTGATGAGCACCGTGCTGCTAATCAATTGAAATTATCTCATGAAAGTATTAAGTCTAATTCGAATTCTTCAACAAGTCTACCGAGTATAGCAAAGCATGAGAATAAAAGTGGTCATGATGAATTGGATGCAGACATTAGTGGTTTAAGAAATACCAACCGAGTCCGTAGCACTTCTTATATTGACTCTGATCCAACAGTAGTTGACGTAAAAAATTCAACATTTTATGTTGAATCTAATGCAGATCAGGTTATTAAACTAGATGATAATACTTGCAATCAAAATACTATTCGTAAATTACAACAAGGACATTTTGAGTTATCCGCTGAAATCATTGAAACAGGAGTAGTTAATGATCGGGGTAAAACTTATGGAATTTATGCAGTTGCCGTTAATAAAATTTATGATTCTGGATATAAAGAAAAATGGCATATTTATCGCCGATATTCAGATTTTTACGATTTACACCAAAAAATAAAAGAAAAATATTATGATTTAGCTAAACTGCCATTTCCAGCAAAAAAAGCTTTTCATAACATGGATCGAGCTGTTCTTGAACGTCGAATGATTATGCTTAATGCATGGCTGTACAGACTTACTAAGCCAAGTATTATGGATGGCCATCTAGGATTACAAAATTTATTACTTTCATTTTTGGAGCAAGGTGACTATGATAAGGGTGTCACCGGTGGACATATATCGAAAACAGTATGAAATTCATTATCTTTTTTTAACATTTAATTGTATGTGATGTAATATGACTTTTTCTTTCTTTAGATCGATACTTTAGTTAATCCATTAAAAACATCTATGAAAACCATGACTCAAGCAGTAAAAACTATGCCGGATAATATGATAAGCACAGTAGATGGTGTGATGGATAATATTAGTAAATTTTTTGGTAATCCTCGAAAAAACAGCATGCTTTATGAGAGTGTTAAAGTTGGAGCGTGTATTGATACTGAGGTTAATAAATTTATTTTATTTCATTCCATTTACAAACTTAAAATAATAACATTTTTATTATAACTGTTATAATTATAAATTTTATTCAGACTGATGATAACATACCTCTGAGAATTATATTACTGTTAATGGACGAAATATTTGATTTGAAAGTACGGAATCAATGGTTACGACGGCGAATTGTTACGTTATTAAGACAAATAATTCGAACAATGTTTGGAGATATCGTTAATCGACGTATAGTTGAATATGTATCATTGTTAACGAGTCCTAAAAATGTTGCTACCTATTTACGATTATTCAAGTAAGTAAAAAAAATAGTTTTTCATTATTAGTAAAAATACATAATAATTATGTAATTTCATTTATAATGATGTAATACCAAGTATTTTTAATAATTTGAAAATGTTTTGTAAAGACAAAGTCATTGGCCAAATGGAGTTAAAGCAGAAGCCAAGCCACCTCGGAATAATGAAACAAAAAACAGAACTCGTGTGGCAGCTAAAGTTGCACTACTTTCATGTCTATCTGATGAACTAAAACATATTATAGGTAGTGAAACAACTAGACGAGGATTATTACGAGTATTTGAACTCTTTCAGCGTCCAGTACTCAATAGACGATTGTTATATGTACTACTTGAGGGTATTATCGAAAATTTATTTCCTCAGAATGATTTGGTTACAATTATTCACAAATTATACTCAGTTTCTCCTAGAGTTAAAAGTAAAAAAATTCATTCTTGATAGTAATCGAATTTTGTTAATTATATGATAACAGAACAAATTTATATTTTAAAATTTTTCATTATAATTTATATTTTTATTTAACTTAAATAGATGAAAGATAAATACTTATTTTTTGACTGTTGTAGTAATTTTTCCAATAATCTCTAACATGAGAAATTCTTAAATAATCATAATTGTAAATATTTATTCAGATTTTATTAGTTTTTTTTTATAAAGTGATTTAAAAATATTTTTAATTCTATATGTTTATTATCTAAAAAAAGAATCTCAAATATTATATACTTCAGCAATAATTCATAATATATTTTTTAAATTTGAATGAAGAAAAAAAAATCGCTTTTAAAAACTTGACCAGGTATAGAATAAATATTATCAGTAAATTTGGTAATAAATAATTAAAATGGCAATTGAGTGTATAAGTGGCCAAAAAGTATACAAAAAATGTTCAATTTAGCTTTTTAAAAATTACTAATTATACATGAAATATTACTGGATTTATTTGTGATTGTATTAAAAATTTGTATGTATATGTATTCATAATTAATCACCATGCAAAGTCATTCCATATATATTTAAGATATAATATTAATAAAATTATATAAACTTTTTTGTTATAAAAAAATCTTCTATATCTTATAACTCTTGTTGATATTATAAATAGAAAAGAAAATTGTGATTAAATATTATTATGAGGCACCCATACTTTTAATAAATATTTTATTTTATCTTATTGCAACACACACACACACACATGCGCAAAATAAACAATTTTCTAGAACTAAGGATTTTTTTATTTAAAAAATAATTTTTGACGTTAATTTAATTACAAAAATATAAGAGGAATGCAAAGAAAATTTTTGTGCCTATTGTTTTAATCGTACGATAGAATTACAACGGACGACTGATTGTAATGACCTAATGACTTTCATCATTAATGTTTATTTTTTAAAAAATTGTATGTGTAACTTGCATATAATAATTATGGTGGTGTCATTAATGTTTGACTTAATTAAAAAATTTGTTGTGTAAAAAATAACAAAATGATTTACTAATAAATCGATAATTATAAAAACTTAGAAGGAAAATTGTGTTATTATTAAAAATAATCAATTTTGTTAACAATAATATGTTAACATACCAACAAACGACCAATGGCATTTTTTGTAGTTTCAAATATTTTTGTTATGTTATCTTATTTCGTACACTTTATTTCGTGCATTCATGCATCAAATTTCAAAGTTATTGTAAAATATATTAAAATATAATTCTGATGTTATATTAATATGCCATCAAAATTATTAAAAATAAAATTAGTATTAAAAACTATGGCACGAATTCTGATGAGCATGAAAAAATTAAGAATATTATAAACTAAACAACCAAAATAACAATTGACTATTTTGATATTAAAGGAAAGTTTTTGAAAGAAAAAAAAAAAAAAACATGATTTTATCAATATCAATACTCTGTATAAAGTTGATTTAAAAATTAGGCTCTGATATAATAATCCCAAATAGTAATATATAATTTTACAGTAATTAATACAACTCTTATAAAACAAAATGTTAAAATATACGACACGATAAAAATTACAATTAAAATGAAATGGCTCAATAACAAAAAACAAACATACATGACTCAATATTTCTAATGTACATATGATGTCTTAATTAGAAATAAGTAATAAGGATAATTATCTTATTTATGTTAGTAAAAATTTATTATGTTGGCCAAAATAAAAATTTTACATGACGTAATAAAATCTAATATATGTGAATAAAATTTAACAACAATTATTTGCAAATATTAATCTTATTTTTTTAATTAATATTTGACTAGTTTTAAAATATAAAATATGAATCTATGAAATGGAAGGCAGCAGCTTGATTGAAAAAGTAGTTAAAACAAAAAGAGCTTATTAGTGGAGTGGCTTCACTACTGTGCGAAAAGATTGATAGCTCTTTATGATGAGGCATGTGTGCGTACATATATCTGTATAAAAAGAAGAAAAAAAAAGCAAGCTCTGTTAGTAAAAAACCTCTTGCGCTAGTTTATTCTCTGTTATAGTTATAATACAAGAGCATATAGTGTATATGTACGCGAGATTACGGTTGTCCTCTCGAACTCTCGCACGCGTACGAAAGAACATTTTGATTGTGAATATGTTGGAGTTGGAGTTGGAGGACACAAGAGAGAAAACGGCTGGTGTAAGAGTAAAAAGAAGTAAAGAAAGAAATACAAGGGGGACATAAGGCATTGTATAAAAAAGAATTGGGCAGGAAGAACGTTTTTTGAAGAAGGGGGTTTGCAACCCGGGGGCTCATGGCTTTTCTGGTGGTTCAAGGGAGAACATACAAACTATGTAGTACCTCCACCACCACCACTACTACCATCATCATCATCATCATCATCATCATCATCACTATCCTACCACACACTATCGCAACTGCACCTTCACATAACTTGTGCAAAAGCAGCAAAAGTAGTTTACAATCTCTCTGTTTTGTACTTTGAGCCGAATTGAGCGCTATAATAATGAAAAAAAAATCGATATGCATGATTCACGCGAGCGTGAGTCCGTTGGGGAGCGGAAGAAGGGGGTTACATGGGGGTAAAAGAGGAGAAAGCGGACCACGCTACTTCTCCCCTTCATGGTACGATGTACGATGGGCTCCTGTATTCAAACGTTTCATATATATTTTGTGTGTATACTCCTGACCAAGGGGGACCTCAGAGAACAGCAGCACACGCGTAATTCTATACAGCAGCAGCAGCAGCAGCAGGAGGGGTATATTCCCGCCATGCTACCCCCTCGGTCACTCGATCAGTCGTGTCCTGAGTACGATCCAGTCATAAACTTGCCCTGCATTACATACGATTTATTATTATTTATATTTTTATTTATTTACTTTACTTTCCATCTTCTCTAATAATTACATTATTTTTAAATAATTAAGTGTTGAATGTGTTGTTGCTTACAATCTAATTTGAATATTACTCAAGCACGCGCTTTCATGTCAATATTGTGCCGAAAAGACGCTTGAATATTATAAAAAGTGGATTACCGAAATTACATTATCTATTTTTAACACCATCATTTTATTTTTTATTCTAATACACTAATAAATTGTATATTAATCGTTCTAATATTTAAATATTAATTATCACTCTTTAATAAAAGCGAAAAAATTCATACTTTATCGATGGTAATATGTTTACTCCAACAAGTATGTGAAAAATTATTTTCGGTAAAAAAAGGGATGTAATTATTAGTGTCGTGGGATAATTATTAAATCAACTTGCAAGTATGTCAATTTTAAAGTTTTTTTTTTTTTTTTTTTTTTTTAATTATTTTGTTTAAATATTTCAGACTTTTTAAAAATTATTGTAAGTTTCATTATTATTACTATAATTATTTGAGTAAATATTTTATTTTATAACATTATTCACAATTTAAATAGTCAAAGTATAGAATGAAACGTAAATTGGTAAATAAATTGAATGTAAGGGATGAAAAAGTCAAGTAAGTACACGATCCGTGTGTTTAAAGAGGGTGAAAGTGAGAGATTTCGATGCAAGACTAAACGGCGTCAGGACGCTTGTTATTCTCTCGGTCGTTTCATTTAGATTTTATTTTAGTTTTTTTTTTTTTATGTCTATTATTGTATATTTAATAACTTTTTTTTATTCAAAATATTAACTTACACGTGCAGTCTTCTGAGTGACCATTCTGTAATAAGGAAAAATAAAACGCGAAAACGATGCCGTAGTCTGTGGTCAACTGGCTCTCGCACCGAAACAAGATACGCCTGAGACCTATATAAAATCCGCACACACACATTCTAATTATTGTAAATGAAATATTGTTGTTTTGTAACAAATCTAGTTTATACTTTGAGTACAAACATATAAAATAATTTCATGCATTACGTTGGTGCTGTATAAATAAAAATGAAATACAAAGAATAATAAAAAGAAGCTATTATAAGAAACAAGATGCAGATAGTAATATCGAAAAACTTTTATGTCAGTAAGTAAGTGCAAGAGTAAACAAATGAGATACCAAAGTAGATCCAATGTGTTGTAATTTCATTGTATGCTTAAAAATATAAGAATAGAATGACGAGGTTAATAATGTAAAGAATAGTTATAAAAAACTTTAGATTATATGGTGCGGGTGAAAAAGATAGAAAATAAGATGGAACCGGTAGGAGACCATGGCGACAGGGTAGGTGTAGTCTTACTTTGAACTAAGGTGTGGGATTACCGTACTTATATTCAACTCTAATCGTATTAAGTTACCTCTTTGCTTTACGGCAAGTGAACAGGCTGCCAGCATATAGGAAGCCATCCGAGCGCTCCTGGAACAGTCTCGTCCGATCGTCTGAGCCCACCTATGTTGTTTACTGCCGTCTTAATCTTGTCTATTTAAAATTTTTTACACATCTATCGTTTGTATTTGATGCCTTACTTTTGACTTATTCTTTGTAATTGATTTTAAAATTTTTAAATTTTAATTAACCAAATGTATCCTCAATTTGAATTAATTCTGACAATCACCGCCAGGATACACGGAAAATTGTAGTGGCCTGTGTATCAAATGTGATATAAAATCAAATAAAATAAATTTAGTGCCTTAATACATGCATAAGGTAAAGTACCCAGTAGCTGTTCAGGAACCAGTACCTGGCCACTCTGTGAATTTGTATACCTATATTCACAAATGCAGATATACAAATACATGGAGAGAGAGCAGGTACTAGTTTCTGAGCAGCCACTGGGTACTTTACTTTAGATGTACAAATAATTATTTTTAAGAGTGATATTAATTCAAAAAATTTCATGTGAAAAAAGTATTAGCTACGCTATTTGATGACAACGAGATGGCAGAGGTACTGACTTCTATGTGTGCTCGGCTTCAATTTAAATGTCCTAGCACCATTTGAAATCAGTACTGCTCCTCTTTCTTACCAACAAAATTAAATAATAAACTACATTCATTTACAATCACTGAATAAATATATAAGGGTTTGTATTTGATTTATATAATTTATTATTATTATTATTATTATTATCATAAATACCAAGTATAATTATCAGTTAAATCGATTAAATCTTATAAATTTTTGTGTAATAATAATTTTAATACAATATATTTAACTAAAATATTCACAAATTATACTTTTGTTGAATAACAAACTTATGTAAAGGATATAATCCCATAATAAATAATTATTTAATATTAATCAAATAAAATATTAACTACGGCAATGACTGTGGTGATGCGATAATTCTGACAGAGTACATTATTTACAATTAAAATTAACTCTTCAACAATGTCTCATATATAATTTTTTTTTTCTTAAAATTAGTTCTTCCATATCATCATCAATAAAATATTACACCTTTACTTTATTATAGTATTTCGAGTTGATAAAGTAGATAAAATCCAATCAGTTCAAAAAGTAAAATAAAAAAAAAAACAATTTTTTTTTACGTTTAAATTTTCACTTGGAAGCCATCTGGTAAGTATTACCAAAATACTTTTTCACTATATTATATTATGTATGTATATAATAATTAGCGACTAATGGAATTGCAACACTCATAAAATAAATCATAAAGAAGTAAGCAATTATTAATGCTGACTTTATTGCTATCCCATAATGTTATGTTGATTCTTTACTTGGACGAGTTGCTTTTAACCTTGTCCAAGTTTCACCAAGTGCTTTCGCGAAATGGTCATCCACTGTAAGAATAAAATAAATTATAATAATGATAATAATTAACAACATGTATACAACAATAACATTCATTAACAATTTTTTGTTTCAGATGATTACATCATTTGTTACTATTTGAATTAATCAAATTTACCACTTAGTCCTGTTTCTTTATCTGTATTGGAAGAAGAACCATTGAATACTGCCGCATATTCTTCTAAGCCTAAAGATCTCTTGAAATGCTCATCTATAGCCGGATCACTGACAATACCCGATTTTTTAATTCCAGTTCGTTGACCACCTATCGCTGCTGAAGGTGTTGCTGTTGGTGTAGGTCTTACTGCGGTATCTTCGACGGTGGTTCCTATAAAGAAAAATTATTATTATAATAACTTTATCTATGATTACACATATGTGAATGATATTTAAATTAAATTAAAAAAATTGATCTCATATGGATTGTAATTAATTTGAAATTTGTAAAAAACTTAAGATTATATACCGGGTTGAGGTGCAGCTGGAACAATAACGCTAGGTCGATTGTGATGTACCCTAGCAGCCGACATGTCGAGGGCCTCGCTCTGAATAGGGTCCCTCCTACGCTCTTTTCGCCACGCGCTACTTGGCTTTCTATGCAAACTCGCTGTTTTTGGACGTTCTTCTGCAAAAATAAAAAATTTTAATTTAAAAACTTTCATCAATCTTTACTTTAATTAAAATACCATTATAATAATATTTTTTGCTATCAATATTATTTTATTGCTCGAAAAAATCAACATCTCTAAGAATTTAAGACAAAAAAAGTCTATAGTTGAAATTTCAAAATATTCATGGTAGGTAGGAAGAAAAAAAAAAACAAAGATGGAGTATAAACAAATGATTGGAGTGATTTAGTTCAGGGTGGAGCAAGGGAAAGGGTTAAGACTTTGAAAGGCAACGTTCTGTTCCCAGGACGATGAGACAGGAAGTGCCTAATAGCCGTGAGAGGATGCGCAGTGGGGCGGGAAACAGGTTTGGAAAAGGACGATGGAAGCTGGAAAGATGAATGAAACGAAAGAAGGTGGGCTTGTTATTCCTCCAGTCTCAATTAACTTTTCGACTCTCACAGGCTTATATTATAGGGATATATTTCGGATAAATTGAACCTTCAATTTCGGCAATCACTCTCTCTGGGTTGAATTCTCAAAGCGTATTTTACTATTATAATTATCCTTATAACATAACACAATAATTTGAATCATTGCTTTTTATTCAATAAGAAATTTCTAGATTTCCAAAATCAATTAGATTTACATACCAAAATTTTTGTATGAAAAATCAAAATCTTTTATATCAATATCAAGCCAAGGTTGCCACAGATACATTTTTCTTGATGTCATCCCCATTCGTACATGTCTCGATATCTCAAGAGACTCCATTATTACTTTTAATAAATTTTTTAAAATATTTATTTAAAAAAACTAATCACAACTCAGTTACACTTAAATAGCTTTATTATTCGTTAAATCACTGTCAAAATAGTTATTTATGAAAAAACAAAAAAAAAAAAGTATATAGTACAATAGACATGAATGCAAAGCTATTCTACACATCCGTTGCGAGGTCTTGGTGGTTTAATGTCGAAAGAAAAAAAAGCCACAGGCATTATATACACAACACAAGAGTCCTTTTATCCAACTGCACGTAATAATACTCAGTAAACCGTTGATTACGCAAGGGTAAAGAACAATTGAGTGATGTAAAATAGAAAAAATAATAAATACATAAATAATTTAAAAAAAAAAAAAATAAACATGGATAAGGGTAGAAAAATATTTATTATTAATAGTGCCGTTGTTTCGTGAATGCCTTCTTACGACTGTCTTAAACGTTCATTCATTCATCTCTAGCACGGTCTCATCTGCTTCAGTAGACTTGTTGCCCCACCTCGCGATCACCCCTCCTTTTCTTGATTCAAATACGGCCCTTTTATACGTCCTTGCCGCGGCAATCTACTCAGGTAAATAAAATTAAGATTTTGGTTTAACTATTTAGCATATTCATTTAATTAATCACCTTCTTATTACGCATATATTTTTACTTCAAAACAATTAATCATTTTATTTTGTTATGTATGTTATATTATGGTTAATAATAATAAAAAATAACAAGAAGATAAGAAATTTGCAGGTGAAAATAAAATATTCAACAGTTTTCTTCAGCAAATAAAAAAGTTTACATAGCTACTGTGTAAGCGATTGCTACTGTGCATACTTGGAATCTTTAACTTATAAATTATTTATACATATATATATACTTGGAAAAATACATTGATTTGTTTTAGTAATGAGTATTTATATACATATCAGAGAATACATATACATATTTTTCCGAATTTCTTGGTTTGTTTAATCGTTCTTTTCCAATAAATATATTATGAATTATCATTAAATTATGAGACAATGCTTTGATGGGTTTATGACCTAATTTTTGCAAATGACACTGTCGTTTTAATTTTAATAATTTCAATTCATCGTGATTTCACAGTCTTTAATTAAACACAACAATAAATTATAGAAATTAAAATGAATATTTCACGAAAATTAATATATTTGTTCTTTTCATTGTTATGTTCGAAATATGGCCAGTTAAAGAAATATGCAGTAAGATGGTATTTACGAATAAGAGTATAAACGTGTTAAGTATTTAAGAAACCGCACAAATGATAATTATATGATTACATTTTATAATCGAGAAAATAAAAGTAACTTGGAAGTACGTATCCGAAGCATCCTAGAAAAAATAATTGTGTAAGTAGGATTCATCGTAAAACTCATTTTTCTAATTATTTACCGCATGACACGGTTATGACTTAGGCTACGTATAAGACTTATTATTAAAGTAAGGGGCGAAACAACTACGGTTCTGTCTTTGACTGTTAACAAGATACATAAGATAAAAAAAAATGTGTTATTGAAAAAAAAATTAGAAAAACGGTTGACCCTAAAGGCCATCCCTGCAATTTCCCGCTGATTTCATATTTAAGCGCTCAAAATTTCACTTATTACGTTTTTGAGTTCTTCGAGCTCAAAAATATAATTTTCGTGTCATTTTGAGCTCTCCGAGCTCAAAAATCTGGTAAAAGTTTAATAAAACACTATTTCTTAAATTTTAAAACCACAATAACTTTTGAATGAATAAACTGATTTTCACGCGGTTGGTGGCATTGACGCAGTTTTTCAGGCCTCATTAAAAGTCATCAGGAATTAAAACTTAAATTGATCGAAGTAGGAATTTCGATGTAATTCCGAAAAAACATTTTTTTCGACAACGATAACTCACGAACGAATCAACCGATTTTGACCGGGCCTGCGGTGATCGACGTGGTTTTTTGATGTTAAAAGCTGATTAGTTTTTGGAATTTATCATTAAAGCCGTTTAAAAGTAATTCCAAAAAAAACCATATTTGACAAAAATTTTTTTTCAGTTTTTTGAAGATTTCTCAAAATCTATCGATCTGAATCGGTCCAAATAGGTTTCAAAATCTAAGTTTGGTCAAGCTCTTTCGAATGGCACCAACTGCGATGAAACCGGTCGAGCCGTTCAAAAGTTATGAGAGGTTTACATACGGCCACACACACATACATACATACATACATACATACGGACATCACCGCGGAAACATTCGGGGAGGCTTCCTAGGATCTCAAAACGTCAACATCCGTTGAAAACTCGATTTTCGAAAAATGGGGTCAAACCAATAACTTCCCGATTTTTGAAAATTTTCAATTTTCTTAGCGGGAAGTTAAAAAATTTAACAAAATTAAATTTAGATCCAATGTGAATAAAAAGTTTTCCTTTAAGGGGGTATTCTGGTCTAGAAATTTGAAAAATTCGAATTATTTTTTTTCGCATATCTGCAAAGTTTAGACCCTTAAAAATATGTCCTTGAGTGGATTTTTAAAAATCCGAATTATTTTCGGAGATACCGAGGATTTTGTGACGCAGCTGCTTCTGCTTCTGCTTCTTCAATAGAAGGCAGAACAGCTCGATTAGCAGAAAGAACTTCGCAAAACATCGAGTAGGAAGTAGAAGAAGGCTCAATTTACGGATCTGGGATTCGCGATTAATCCAAAGTGAATATTAAATATTATTATGAGTTATTTTACTGAAATCGTTTCTAAAACTTTAAACGCGATTCTCTCGAAACTACTTTTTTTAAAGTGATTGACATGATATCTTAAGTTCTACCCCACCGATTCCTTTGAAATTTAGTGGGAATTTGTTTTATATATCTCTCTATCGCGTCTGCTACGGATTTCAAAAAATTTCAATTTGGAGTATTTTTAAAAAATTCGAAAAGGTCATAAAAAAAGGTAAAAAAAAA